AAAGCATTTGGGGTGAATTATCTGTCTCTTGGATCCCCTAAAGCCTCAAACCTCCTTTCACAGCTGAGAGAGAGAGAGAGAGAGAGAGAGAGAGAGAGAGAGAGAGAGAGAGAGAGAGAATGAGAATGAGAATGAATTACAATGTGCTCAGAAGAGTTGGTTTGTGGAGGGGGAAAAAGAGCATTAAAAATGCTCTTTAATTCAAGTGCTTGGTCATTTGACTTCCTGGCCATTTGAGATGTCACCATTAAACTGGGATTGGGGATATATATATATATATATTTAATCCTCTATGTAAAGTTAAACTTTCTAATTGAACAAGCTTGGTGCATTCTCTTGGCAACCTCAGTTTTGCTGGGAGAGAGCCTAGGAGCAGACAGAGGAATGGCTAATTAGGAAAACAATTGTCTGGGGCCATTTAATGCAAGGACAGGTAATGCATACTCCCGGATCTGAGAGCATCTCTGGGGTACAGAGTGGGAAATGCTGATTTCACAGGTACACTTGATGCTCTAGAATTAATATGTTAGGAGATTTGAAGAGGAGGCATTGTAGTTTATTGGAAGTAACACTGGGGATGAGAAGACAAGAATGACATTATTATCCCCTTTGTATTGTGGAACGTTCAGCTTCCCTTGGGTTTCCTGGCTTCACTGTTTGATTCTAGACACCTGTTGGGCACTCACTACACTCACTCAGTGTAGACTGAGTGAGGGTGCTGAACTACTAGTAGAGCTTCAGATAGCCTTTTGCTATAAATTTAAGTCCTACTATTTCTCTCTGCTCCCTAATGGATCAACTCGCGCACCCCTTCTACTTTGGGGGCCACTGAGGGAGGAAATTCACTTACCCAGCACTTCTCTTCACAGTGGTAGATACAGGAGCATTGGTTCTGATAACAATCCCTGCCTTGCATTTGTTTCATGCTCTTTTAGATGCAAATCGGCACTTTCACACCTGCTGCAAAACGGAGTGATGAAACATCTGCGTTCTGAGTCCTTTTCTCTTGAATGATGCTGTGAAGTTAACTCAGGATGTCCTCTTGAAGCTACCTGCGTGACATAGCCGGTGATGATGTCTTTCCTATGTCTCCCTCACCTTGTCAGAGGAAGGGTCCGTCACGCAGGAAATGCTTCATTTCAATGAATTAATTAAAAATATTTTTTTCCTCTTACATACACAAGAATATCCCCAGAAATAAACACAAGCTTTTGAGTGTGACTGCCTCTCTAAATGGGAATGTGGCCTGAGAGCTGAGGGGGCTGGGGGAGGAATACGTAATATTAGTATTTAGTTATGTCCTTTTGCACTGCTCAGGTTTTGACCCTATGCATACTTTCTTTTTCCACAAAAATGAGGAAAACTCTTTGGAAGAGTACTACCCCCTCCCTTTGTCTACACATTCACCATATTATTTTCACTGGCTTTTCCTGTCTCAGTTTTTTGGGAAAGACCAGAAAACTCTCTGTCTTTAAACTTATCCTCTAGTTGGGGGTCGAGGGTGGCGTCATTAAACTATGACTCATGGCCCAAATCTGGTCTGTTTTTGTATGAGGTCAAATCTAAGAATGTTTTTTTACATTTTTAAAGGACTATATATCAATGCATTAAAAGAACACAAAGCAGATATTTACTATCTTGTCCTTTAAAGAAAAAGCTTCTCTAAAGCACATACAGTTTTAAACACTCTCAGGATGACCAGTCAGATGGCTTCTCAGAGCAGGGAGACAGTGACTCCTGGGGACCTGGCACGTGGTAGGTGCTTTTTAGGATTCTGATTAAGAAGCTCCCAGCAAGAATATTTCTCTCTGTGGCTCTACTTTGAGCCTGGGAGCTGGGGAGGTGACATGTTGCCTTCCTCTAGTCCCCAATATATTTTAGCAGTAAAAGATCTCCCCTTGTTTGAGTAAACACTTCTTGTCTTAGCGGAGTAGGTCTTGCTACTGCTTTTGAAACTTGCCATCTTCCTCTCTGGCAGGAAGGTGACATTTTGCTGGTGGGGGTTTGGTAGGACAGTAATACTAGTGGAAGCCACTAGATGGTGCTATAGCTCTGAGAAACAGGCTTGGAAAATGCCAAGCAGGAGGCGGGCTTTCATGCTCTCCCCTTGCCCAGGACAGACAGACTTCTCTCTAGATTTGACTCTGCCACTTACCTGCTGCTATAGGGCTATTGGACACCCGTAAGTCTTGATATCCTTATTTGCAAAATGAGGATTATAAGAATACCCACCAAGGAAGGATGCTGTGAGCCTCGAATAAGATATTACCGGAGGAGGCACTTTGAAAACTGTGGAATCCAGTGCAAACATGAGTTGATACAACCACTGAAAGCCTCATAAATTAGTGCCCACTCCTTGGGCACGATTCCAGGAGCACAATAACTCTCGTGACCCCCTTGTCTCGTAACAGTGAGGGCTGGGACCAGAGAGGAGCAGTGGTGTGGGGAGAGGATTCATAGCCGCTGGGTGAGTATAGGACACTTTTCAGAGCCTCTGTTCCATCACCTGCAAAACAGGAAGAACACAAGAGCCCTGCTCTGCAGGGTTATGAAGATGAAGTGAGATAACATAGCCCGAGCATTTGGTGCAGCGCCTGGAACAAAGCAGCCCCCTCCCCGAACCCCCAGTAAGTGTTAGATTATGAGTGGGTGCTTGATGTTGCTTGCGATTCTCTCCTCATGGGTCCCTCTCTCCTCTCCTTCCACTTCTTTCTTTAACCATCCTGAGCCATGGGATGTTGGTGTCATGTTTCTGTCTCCAGCACAGCCCTCTCTCACCTCCACTTGACCGTCCTGCAGGCATCTCCAACTCAATACGCTCAAAACATACTTCCTCACCTTCCCATTATGACCTACTTTCTTCCTCTTCTCCTGGTACCTTAAAAGCATCACCCTCCACTCATGATTCGTGACACTCCTGGCTCCCCGACCCCCTACTTGTCATCCGTTGCACCAAATTCTCTTGCTACTGTGTAAACATCTTTCCAATGTGCATCTTCTCCCCATCCCCCCGGCCTTGCTCTCCCCATGATCACTGCCGTAGCCCCGTCTAACTCCCTGCTCCGTGTGTGAGTGCCCTTTTCCCCTAAAAGCAAATCGCATTATTCCCCTGCTCAACATCCTTCCACGGCTCCTGGTGCTAGCCAGATAAAGTCCAAACTTCATAACATGGCCTAGAAGGCATCTAAACATCTGGCTTCTTCCTCCTTCCCCAATCTCCCTCTTACCTTTCTCTGTCCTGTATGTTCAACCTGAAATATAGTCCAGTTGGACTTATGCTTAGTTCCTCAAATGACAAATCAAGCTTCTTTTTGCCTCTAGGCCTTTGCACATGCTGTTTCTTCTACCTGGAACATTCTTTCCTCCCTTCCCATTTGCAGGTATACCCTTCTCTCCCTGGCTAATGCCTACACATCTCACAGGTATCAGTCACCTCCTCTCAAAAGCCTTTCCTGACATCTCAAGTATGAGTTAGTGCTCCCCTCCCCCACACCCCCAGGATCTTCTTATACTTGCTTTAATTGGGCACCATTGCACTGATTCTCTAGTGTGATTCGATGTCAGCTGCGATGGTCACCTGATGTTTGAGAGATATGCCAATCCAGCTGGCTCCCCATCCCATGTCTAGGGGAACCCACATGTCCATTTAAGGTTGCTATAAATTTAGAGGAATGGCAGTCTCTCTAGCTTTGACTTCCTGCTCCTACTAAAATCTATACTGGATTCTGGTTCTGAGTCCCTCAAGCCCTTTCTTTGCCCCTAAGCAGACCCAGATGTAGAACACAGCTGCTTTTCTTTATTTCCTCAAAACACTGCTCATAGAGGACACTTGGATATTCAGAAATTGCTGAGGTCTAGGGTGATGAAGTGCATAGTTCTCAGCAACATACCAGCCAGCCCTTCCCCAGGAACTATTCTTTGGTTGTTTTTCTCCCAAGGTCTCTTCTCACTCTTAGGCCACTCAGCTCTCTTTTCCTCCTCCACTTCCTCCTGCTTACTCTTTTTCTTCTCTATTTTTTGGCCTCCTCCTTTCTTCTCTGCTCCCTTTCACTCAAATTACTATTTAACACAGAGATGTTTAGGGTCTCTTAATTTTGCAGTCTCCTTGTAGACCTTATCTCACCTTTATACCCCAAATAGCTTCTCAAGGTATAATGTTAAACAAGGGTGATAACATGGAGGGACCTGTGATGTCACATAGTCTCTCTGCCCTCACTATCCCATTTGGTTGACTTGTCCATCTCCATGTAAACTCCACGAGAGCAGACACCTTGTCCACCTTGTTCATAGCTGTATCCTCAGCACGTAGAACTTGGTTGGTGCATATTGGGCTCTCGGTAAATATTCAGTGAATGAATAAATAACTGAATGGGTTAATGGATGAGTGAGATGCTGCTTAGAGTGAATAACAATTCCAATTCAACTCTCCTCCCCACTTTGGGAGTGTCATAGAGAGATGTTGAAGCCCAGCCTACATGAATGCTCTGAGAATCGGGCATGACAGCAAAATCGAGTGCAGTTGTTCAATTGTTAATTCAGCTTGGCCATCACTAAGGGGAATTAAAATGTCTACAGTTCTTATAACCTAGGTAGAATGTAGGTGAGCGTAAGACTAAGGTAAGAAAAGAGGTTAAAAACCGATGAACCCACACACATTTTGAGATGACTGGATGATAAGCTTCCTCCTGCAACTAAGAGCAACAGAAAATATATACTCTGAAGACAGAGATTTTCTTACACACCATTGCCTTGTCGAGGAATGCCATATCCATCCATCCATCCATCCGTCCACCCAACAATCCATCCAAGGCAGTAGATATAACATTGTTGAGAAGCACACGCTAGCTCTGTTAGTGTAAAATAGGGTTAACACTGGTAGCTACTTAACCAAGTTATCATGAGGTTTAAATGATATTAATTAAGTAAATGATAACTGTTGTCATTATCAGGATGTAAATACACCCAAATTCTACGGCTCCAACTCTTTCCCCAGCCAGATGTCAAACATTCAGCTCAATTTTATTATCCAGAATTTGAGGAACATCAAGAAGGTAAAGGAATCTGGAATGAAGAACAGAGACTGGGAAGCTGGGGTTGGGGCGTGGAATTGGGGGGACGGCCACCTGAGAATATCTCCCTTTAAAATGTCACCAGGAGTCAGCCTCCAGATGACACTACTGGATCACAAAGTACATCCACGGGCATAGGCGGGAGGCAGGGACACAGGTAGGATGCAGGAACGTGGTGCAGTCTAGTCGTCCTCCATGGGGACAGCTGGTCCACCCAGGCCCAGATTACGTCAGTGGGGTCAGTGTGGTGTAGGGCCGGAGGGGGATGTTGATCCGGTTCTGCAGCCAGCTCAGGTAATCCTCTCGAGGCATGTGGATGATGTGTTCTCGCACAAACTGTGGGGCAAGTACAGTGGCAATCTCAGAATTTGGTCTGATGGCTAGACTCCACCCTCTCTCCGACCCTAGAGGCTGGTGGCCCCAGGATACCTGCAACCACTCAGGCATTTATAATGTCTGGAGCATCAGGTTGGGGAAGAGGACCCATCTTCGGTTTCCCAGTTCAGCTGGCTCATTTTAAGCTTTTTTTTTTTGTCACTGTTGACCCAAGGAAATTTGGGGAGGGCAGGAAAACCTAGCTGTCTGCATTTTTAATATCTTTTTAAAAAGTCGTTTGTCCTTAAACCTTTTTGGCTCATAGATCCCTTTGAGAATGGATGATAGCTATGGGGGCTTGCTTTCCAAGAAAGGGTTTAAGACACACACAGTGTTCAGTTTCATAAAGACTCTAGATTAAGAGACCTCTGCATTCGGGTTATCAGAAGTTCTGTGATGTTTTCACGGGGACAGGAGCACGCTAAGTATTATCAGCCACAGCTGTGAACTCACCTCAAAGAAAAGAGGAGCCTCCATCACTCCTTCCTCTTACGTACTCTGGGATGGCCTCTTCAATGCCCCCTTTAACAGGTAGGTGGAAATTGGATCCCATACTGGACAGGGAGGTGGACAGTTGCCCTAAAGTTAATTTAGGTTTAGCCTGCCAGAGTCTTTCCTGACGGGTCCGTACAGGGTGTAGGAAGTGGAGTCTGGGCATCTGAATTTGTCCACAGGGTTATCCCTTTACCCTGCTCGTGACCTTGCCTTCCTAGACACACACCCAGGTCATCCCGTGCAAGAGCCCACCTGGCAGGACAATGTCAAGAGCCCCATAGCCTGTCAAGGCCTGAGAAATGGACCATGTGAATCACTTCTTTGCTATTAAAATGCCCATATGCCATCTGATAAAACTAAGCGAGTGACTCCATTAGTGTCTGTGAACACCTGCTTGTGGAGTCCTTGCTGCTGATGCCTTTTGATGCCCCAGGGGAACAGAGCAGCAGGAACTTCTGGTGGTGGTGATGAGCTACCTGCTGAAAACTGTTCAGTGGCTCCTAAATCTTTGTCCTGACCTTCAAACGTCTGCACAGACCCTGACCTCTCCAGCTCCCTTGGAGCCAGGCACCTCCTTGCTTGCATCGTTCCACTCTCATTGGCTGCCAGTCAGTCCCTCCAGCAAGCCAGGTTGTCTCCCACTTCGGGACTTTTGCATGTTCTTTGCCCTTTCTCTTCATAGCGCTGTCCCATCATCATTTAGGTCTTGGCTTAAAAGGCACCTTTTGCAGTTGCCCTAGTCAAGGTATTATAGGTCCCCTCTAATTTACTTTAAACCAGCGCTCCTCAAACTTTATTGTGCATACAAAACACCTGGGACCTTATTAAAATGTAAATTCGGAGTTGGTGGATGTGGTTGGAAGCCAGAGATCCCGTATTTCTAACAAGCACCCAGGTGAGGTCCGTGCTGCTGGTTCATCAACTGCATTTTTAGTAGCAAGATTTAAAGTGTCCTTATAAGATCACCCATTTATTTATGTCTCCCCAAAGCCCCTGAGTTTCTAGGGGGCACCATTTACATAGAATATATGGTGCCTTGGAGTTGAACAACCATGTAATGTGACAATCCCTCTCCTATTAGCATATGAGCTCCAGGAATGCAGGGGCCTTTGTGTCTTTTCATCACTGTGTCCCCAGCACTTGAGACAGCACCTGGATGTTGAGAGGTGATTGAATGAGGGCACCCAAGGCATTGTGAGGGGAAAGGAGACGGTGGTTACCTCAATGGCCACAGCGATGTCAGGGGAACAGAGTTCCCAGACCCTCAGATCCTGTAGCACCTTCAGGAGGACGTGGGGTCGGATCCTTAGGTCCAGGTTTTCCCCAAACTTCTGCAGTTTCATCAGGATCTTTTTGGCGGGGCGGAAGCTCTTTAGATCCTCTGGCAGTTTGGACAGCAGATCAAAGTACCTTTAATCCCGAGAGGGGAGAGCCAGTTAGGAGGCCGTTGGGAGGAGGTTCTGAGCCCCTCGGGCTGCCCATCTCCACTTTCTCTTTCTGCCACTTGTGTGATGTCTCCAGGGCAGCAGATTCTTTATCTGGGGGCTTTCCTCTGTGGCCCACATAGCAGGCAGGTCTTTAATTTAGGGCCAAGAAAAGAAGGAGCATGACTTTGCATTTCATTAAAAAAAATAAGATCCTATATCCACTGAGACAGAAAAAAAAAAAATAAAAAAAAAATAAAAAAAATAAGGGCACACTTTCAAGGCATGCATTTATGATTTTTCTATCAAGCAGACCATGTGAAAAGATAAAGGAAAGGAAAGGACTTTGGGGTTCTGAAGCTTCTCTTCTGAGAGTTAGTCAGGCTGAGGGAGGAGGACACATGGACACATCCATGGATGAATTCTAGGATGCAGGGGGCTCTCACACACAAGATAGGGTGTATGTGTGTGTGTGTGTGTGTGTGTGTGTGTGTGTATGTGTTTTCCAACTCCCTGATTAACATGTAAGGTCAAAGACTTGTGTGTTTCAGTGTTATGACAGAGCACAAGGATAGTTAGGAATCCATCCTTGAGATGGTGGGAACAGGTAGATTCTAACCCATCTTGGTCTAACCTACCTTAGGTCTAACCTAAGGAGATGGTTCAGATACAATTGGGGCTTAAGGTAGGAGGTGGCATCTCTTAAAAAAAAGCTACTCCCTTGCCCCTGCTATACATGTGACCATTGTGGACAATTTTGAAGAAGAAATTGGTCATCCATCACACACTTTGGGCTACTTATACTGCTTTATATTTTATGATATATGTCTATTCATGTATCCTTGTTCAAAATGAAATCTTGAGAACAGCAACCCTGTCTGAGTAGTTGAGTATTCAGTGTGCTGGAACTCTACCTAACTCCTGGTAGGTGCTCAGGAACTATTATTTGAAAGACTGAATGAATGACTGGATTAATGAGGAGCATCATGCATCTAGGCTGTGGTTGGTTTGACTTGATTTTAATGCTATTTATGTTATTATTGAGGGCAATTACTTCCCCTCTAATAATGCCAGAAACTCCACCATTAGAGATGTGTGCCGAGTCTCACTGAAGGAGGACCAGCATTCATTTCCTACAACTTTATGTCGGTTAGCTTATAACTCCCTTGTTCCTCCTGCCCACTTCCTTTCCAAAGTGGGGAGAGGGTTTGAAGAAGACCTTTTTCCTTCTTTCATGAGGGCCCCTCCTAAGAGTGCCCTGTATCTTCAGGGTCAGATGTGGCCTGTGAGAAAGGGATGCTCTGAAAATATGAGGTGGTGTGCAAGTTCCCATAACTTGGATACAACCCCAGGGACCTGCTTCTAGGCTCCTGTTCCATATTATTAAAATCATGAAGGGATTCCAGGTACATTTCTAGACCTCCTCATTGTACTCTTAGATCCTGATGTATTGACCCTGCCAGGACGGGGCTTGTGACATCAAAGTTCATCAGACTCCAATTCCATATTGCAAGTGAGTGTGGACACTGAGGATGGATAGGGGTTTACATCCTAAATTCACCACTTACTGGTGGTGTGACTTTGGACAAACGAATTTACCTCTCTGAGTCTCAGTTTGTTTGTGAAATGGTGGTTAATATTTACCTTTCAGGATTTTTTTGGGGAGGGATAAAATAGATAATTCATGAGAATTGCTTAGGTAGTGTGTGCCATCTGGTAGTCACTCAATTCATGCTGGGTTCTTTTCTTTCTTTTAATTTGAAGGACAGCTTTTATTCTTTTCTAAAGTTCAACTTGCATTTATTTTTTCAAAATAAAACAAGGAAAGGGTAATAACACTTTGGTCACACAAATTGCCCTTGCACCACCTGAAGCAGATGTCCAAACAGGGGGCTTAAACCCTGGACCCTCAGATTAAAAGTCTGGAGCCCTACCAACTGAGCTATCTAGGCTCTCCATGTTAGATTTTGTTGTTACTCATTATCAGCCCTGTGCTGGGGCACAGCGTTCCTAGGATATGCCTGCCTGGTTTTATTTCCTTAAGGGATTAATTATTTGGGAGGAATGTAGTGATCACGCCAAAGACTTAAGAATTTGTAGAAATGTCCACATCTGCCTCTCCCATAGGGACTGGCAAGGCAGTCCTCCTTACTTCCAAGTCTGAACCAAACAGAAGGCAAATATGGAGGACACAATGGGTTGAATTATCTGTGGTTTTTCAGAAACTGGGGGTTTGGGACCTGACTGTGCTCTGGATGTAGCATGTTTTAGGGGCACTCTATTGGTGGCCAATGACAGTTTTGGGGTGATGCCTCTCTCTCCCTTGAAGGACAATGTATTCAACTGTGATCCTATAACAGCACCTCCCCTCTCCTATTTCAGGGACCATCTTCTCTGGTTCTTAAGCTCCTTACCAGTGGTCTGCAATTTCTTCTGCATCTCCTTTTATTATAGATACTTGACGTCTCATTTTTGCTACATCCTTTTGAAAATTCGAGACAAGGACAAAAGAGCGGAACTTCTGGAGACCTCTCTCTTCTTGGCGCCTACAAGGTTGTACAAGAAAGAGGGAGAAGGATCAGATCCCCTGCTCCTCTAATCATTACAGCTGCACCTTGAGATCTGACTGAAACGTCTTTCCTCCGGGAGGCTCTGGTTTATCCTATCAGCTACTCTTTCACGTAGGACCTGGCCTCTACCACAAGCAGATACGGCTCTCTCCAAGGCTCTGAAGCACTATTTCCTTGTAACTAGTCACTTTTATTAGCCTTCATTCTCTTCCCACTTCTGATTGTATTTACACATCTTCCCCATCTGTAAACTGGGAGATAATAATGGCTCCTACATCTCAGAGCTGAGGATTAAAATCATATAATAAGTGTAAAGTACTGAGCTTCGTGCCAGACACACAGTGGGTGTTTAACTCATATTGGTTACTCTCTTCTACTTATCATTTTGTGCGTATCTCCACTCTCCTCTCTCTCCAAGGAGATTTTGTGTTATTAATGTCACCATATCACTCCCACGTATACAACTTTCAGTGGCTTTCCACCCTACTCAGAATAAACTCCTCTGAGTAACTTGCTCTCTGAGGCTCTGCATTACTCAATTCGTACAACATTTCCTAGCTTCGTTTCCATCCTTCCCATCCCTTCTCTCTTGGAATTTTATGCTTTGGCTCATCAAAGTCTCTGAGATAAAGTTCAACATCCACAGCTCAGCTAGTAAGACCTTTTATGATCTGCCCTCTGTCTAGCTCTTTGATCACTTTGCAGGCACCCTAAGTCCCAACCACACCTGACTACTGGCAGTTCCCTGGTTCACTGTTCCCCTTCTCGCCTCTGGGTCCTTACTGTTGATCTTCCCTCCTACTTTTCTGATATAATTCTTTGGGCTTGAATTCTACCATTACTACTTAGCCACTGGGGGGGGGGACCTTTGACAAGAGCCATCCACTTTTATAATCTATAAAACGGGTCTAATAATAACACCTATCTCATAGGATTGTTATGAAGAGTAAATGATACATAAATGCAAAGCTCTCACACCCATGACTGGTACATAGTAAGCGCCCTGGAAATATCCATCTGTGTTTGTTAAACTGAAAAATGTCTCCTCTCCAGTAAGACCTTTCTTTCTTTCTTTCTTTCTTTCTTTCTTTCTTTCTTTCTTTCTTTCTTTCTTTCTTTCTTTCTTTCTTTCTTTCTTTCCTTCCTTCCTTCCTTCCTTCCTTCCTTCCTTCCTTCCTTCCTTCCTTCCTTCCTTCCTTCCTTCCTTCCTTCCTTCCTTCCTTCCTTTCTTTCTTTCTTTCTTTTTTGAGACAGAGTCTCACTTTGTTGCCCAGGCTACAGTGAGTGCCGTGGCGTCAGCCTGGCTCATGGCAACCTCAAACTCCTGGGCTCAAGTGATCCTTCTGCCTCAGCCTCCCGAGTAGCTGGGACTACAGGCATGTGCCATCATGCCCAGCTAATTTTTTTCTATATATTTTTAGTTGAACAATTAGTTTCTTTCTATTTTTAGTAGAGATGGGATTTGCTCTTGCTCAGGTTGGTCTCGAACTCCTGAGTTCAAATGATCCGCCCGCCTTGGCCTCCCAGAGTGCTAGGATTACAGGTGTGAGCCACTGTGCCTGGCCAGGAAGACCTCTCTGAGGGCTGTACCAGCCAGATGTTGGGACATCCCTTTCATGCTCCCTTAGTTTATGCTTCCTCAGCACACTGACGCTCATCACTCCGTGTGGTAACTGCCTGTTCACTTGTCTGTGCCCCCCCCCCCACTAGACTGGGAGCTCCCACAAGGAAGGGGCAGGAGTTAGTCTTCTCCAAACCCCTATCCCAGAGCAGCTGGTCCATCAACGCTGTAAGGAAGAGGGTGCAAAGACTCATCATTCAAACTTTGATGCATGGATGAGTTCACTGGGGCAGAAGGTCACCGTAGTCAAGGAATAGGCTAGAAAGGGGGCAGTTATTGGGTTGCTCTATGAGAAAAAGAAAGCTTTTGTGGCCTTCTGGCACTCTTGAAATCAAGTTCCGTGTTCCAATTATGGCATTCATGACTGTGCTTGATGCAGCCCTCACCTGTCACTTGTCCCTCCTCTTCAAATTCTCCATGTTCCTTCTTGCCTTGAGACTTGGCATGCACGTTTTCTGCTGCCTGGAATTTCATTCCACCTTCTCACCTTAGTGCCAGCTCCCCGACCTTCAGGACTCATCCAAAAGTCACCTCCTCAGAGAGGTCTTTCCAGATTTCACTACATAAATTAGGTCCCAGTGGTTCCCCTCTCTCTCCACCCCCTTCTCTCATACCACTCTGTTCTCTTCCTCTATGGCAATGACTATAATTTGTCCCTATATATTTACAGGTGTACTGATTTTGTTTCCCAAAGACTGTAATCCCCATGAGGACAGGGAATACGTCCTTTTTGTCCTTGCTATAGCCCCAGTACCTGGCACCTGGTGGGGACAAAGTGGGTGCCAGATAGATGTCGTTTGAGTGAATGGATTTGTGTGTGCCCTTACTTCGTGAGGATTTCCAGCTTGTCCTGCAGGCAGAAGCCAGCCTCCTGGGCCACACCGTAAAACTTGGCCCTCATGGCGTTACACACCCCACTCTTGCTGTGGATGACGTCACGATTATTTCGGCTGTAGACACAGAGAAGAAGGGCTTGTGGGGGCACGGGAGTAGAGCCCAAGGGACACCTCCAGTAACCTCATGGGTCCCACTCTGGCCTCTGGGGCCCCAGAGTGCTCTGCAGTGGGGATTCCTGTCCTCACCTGGGTCCTCCCTCAGCACCCCTCTGGATGTAGGAAGGACAGATATCTCCAACAGCATCAGGATGGAGGCTCGGGCCTTATTAAATGAGCCCACAGTGAGACGGCTGGTCACCAGAGCCCAGCAAGTGTTAAGGACAGGGAGATGGAACTTGGAGCTGGGAGACTCAGGCTCAAAATCCTGCTCCATGTGTTAGCTGTGTGGCCTCAGGCAAGACATTTCACTTGGGCAAGTTTCCACTTGCTCCTCTGTAAAATGGGATTGGTTTTGAGGAACATGCAAAGTAATGAATACAGCATGCTCCTCATGGTGCCTGGCACAGTGAAGGAATTTCTTGCCACTGTCTGCATTGTTACCCAACATCTTGGCTATAAGCCCATTGCCCGGGGGACTCCTTGTCCTTCCACACTGTCTATGGCCTCAGGGAGTCTGGTACACACTGAGTCATTTCCACATCCCTGGGGGGATAGAGGGTGTGGTCACAAAGTCTCTTGCCCAGCTCCTTCCACTGCCCACCCTCCTGGCTTACTTTTTTGACTTCTTCTGGCCTGTCTGGGTGTGGCTGTCTCCACTTGAGCTGCTGGATCTGTCACTGAAACACACAGGGATAGTTTCAAGTTGTTCAGAGTCTGCTTTGCAAGAAAAAGGTGCCTTCAGAGTCCCCATGACACCCACCAGCCTCCAGGATCTGGTCAAGGGAGGTGGTTCTAATCAAGGCACCAGTCATCGAACGCAGTGTGTGTGTTTTCCCCCCTCTTGGTTTTTGTTCCTGCCATACCCCTTGCCTGGAGGGTGCTCCTAGCTTCTTTACTGCCTACTCAAATCCAACCCTGTTTTGTTGTCTACAGCAAGTCCTGCATGCCTGGAATCTCCAATTCCACTTTGACCTGCCTCTGTGTATTGCTAGGATTATGGATTTTCTGGGTCTCAGGTTCATTTGTATAAAACTGGCCTCCCTGCATGGAGGGCGAGTTCATTTTGGACCCTTCCACCCTCTTGTCCACACTCAACACCAGTGCAGATTTAGAGAAGGGGTGGCTGAGTCCTCCTAGCCATGTTGTCTTTGGTTTCCTCCATTCCAGACTGCTGCTTCATCCAAGGATTTCCTTCTCTAAGCTGGGCCCTTGAGCAGAACATCCCCACTCTAGTTTGGAAACAGACAGGGCTGGGTTCAGAGCCCAACACTGCAGCACCACCTCCCAGTCTGTGGGCCAGCAACTCCCCCTCTGGGTCGTCAGTTTCCTTATCTGTGCCCCATCAATTCATCACGTCATTTGAGCCTTTCTAGGTGTCTATGATTCAATCTCTTGTGTGGCTGCTTCCTCTCGTGACTCTTCCTGGGCAGGGGTCCCAGAGGGGATGAAGGGCCCCCACTCCTGCCACCCCTTGCTGTGCCTTTCTCCCAGGCCCTTGTTGCATGACCTGGGCCTTCAGCACCACTGACTGGACAGCACCTTCTCTCCAGCCCTGCCTTCCCTGTCTCTTCCAAAAGCTTGGAAAACTGACTTGACCACTTCATCTGTGTGGCTCAAGGGGGTGAGACTATTTTCCTTATTCCTATGATGTGTGACTAACTCTTCCCTTCTGGCCCTGTGGCATTTGGGGCTTCTTTATGTTGGCAGGGCTGGCCATTTCCCAGGCCCTCTCCCATAGAAAGGTCCTTGCCTTTGCTCCTTTCCCCCAAAGCTCAGAGGACTAGACCCGGAGGTCTCAAGCCTGGTAGGTGGTGGAGGAAACCCTTAACCCACCTGGCTGGGATGCAGGGCCCCGTTAATAATATGGCCTTGTTTCTGGATTCTAGCCAGCTGCCCCAGCCCCTCTGGGGGACCCTGGTGGCCCTGACCTTTCCCCTGTAGATGGCTCTCTTTTTTCAAGAGCTTTGAACTTTGGAGTAACTCAGGGAGGAGGTGAGAGATAAGGGGAGTGGTGTTATTAGTTGGTGATAAATAGAAACAGACAACAAAAGACTCTTCTGCCCATCTCACGCTTCCCTCCCTTGGTTCTCCTTGCTTTTCAGCCACACTGGTCTAAGCTTCCTCCTGTCTTGGGCCCTTCACACATGCTATCCTTTCTGCTGGGAATACCATTCCGACCTTTTCCACCTTATAAGCTAGTCAATTCATTTTTGTTCTTCAGGTCTTAGCTTAAATGTCAGACTTACTGTTGGTGAGAATCTTGGTGCTAAAAGCTCACCCAACCCTCCCTACTTCCCCTTCAGAACACTTGAAAGTCCTGGTTTCATGGCTAACTGTGGGATTATTTGAGAAATGCCTGACTGTCCCATTAGACTAGTGATTCTTAACCATGTGGTAGAATTCAAGGGGTCCATGAATGCAGATGGGAAAAACGTTTGTATCTTTGTTTTAACCAGCCTTTAACCAAAATGAAAATCACAGGTATTTGCATATCATGTTACTATTGTGGAAGATATTTTGAAAAATCATTTATATTCAACACTAATCCAAAATTACAGCAGTTATTAGACCTGCTGTTAAATCTTGCTATTATAAGGCATTGCCAAACAAGCTCATAGATTACTATGTTCCAAATTTGATTGTAATATAGCAATCTGTATTACTACAAATTTCTTAGTAATCTTTTGTAATTTATAGTATGCATTTAAAAACATTTTTCTAAAAGGAGTCCAAAGGCTTTCTCAGATTGTCAAAAGGGTTCGTGGCACATGAAAGGTTATATAACCCCAGCCCAGACATTGAAATCCATAAGGGCAGATTTTGTTTATTTTGTTTGCTGCTGAATTCCCCAAACATAGCACATAGAGGGGGAAATCTAAGAATATTCTCTAAATGAATAAATGAATTGGAGGAAAACCTTGACCTCTCCCATTATACATTACCCAAGTAAAGGAGGAGGAATAGTCCTAAACCACATCCTCCCTGCCTCACCTCTTCACTACTAGAAGAATTTAACTTTATGGCATGTAACTGTTGTGCAGAAATGCCTGGATTGTCACTCTTGGCCCTGGAGTGAAAGTGCCTGATTCCAGTGAGACCATAAGATGGAAAACGTCTCCCCCCTCGCTGCCCCACATTCTGTGGTCTGGTGAGCATCATTTCTGCAGTGGCCCCCATAACTGTGGGCTGGCTCCCAAGCCACTTGCTGCAGGCTTCCTACCTTAATTTGCGGCTGGTCTGCACCTCCTTATGGATAAACTCATTCTTGTTTTGTCTGGGCCCTGCCGAGATGCTGCAAAACAAGATGAGCTTTTAAATAAGGCACTGAATACATGATGCTCTCGTAGCAGTAAATTTCTGTTGGGGAATGGAAGATTCTCTCTCTAGAGTAGGGCTCTTGCAACTCTACTGGGCATATAAATCACCTCGAGAGTTTGCTAAAAATTCAGATTCCTGGGCCATGTTTCCAGAGATTTTTAATTCATTGGATCTGCATTTAAAACCACACACACACACACATACACACACCCCTAGAATTTCCTAGCATACTGTGAAATGCTGTGAAATAAATGCCTACTTGAAGTGCCTGTTAAAAAATAAGGCTGCCTCTGGAGATACTGATTTAGTGGATCTGGGATGAGATCTAGAAATCTGTATTTTTTACAAGTACCCTAAGCTGCATCTGATCCTTAGGGACCCTGCTAGAGGATTTTTTAAAAAGTCCATCTTTTCAGATGACTGGGTGGCAGTCAATCTGGCTTTGGGCTTGGAGGGGTTCCTAAAACCCCAGGATTCGAGGTCAACCTTCATGGAAGCAGATTTGGGATCTAAAGTGAGAAAGGAATACAGATTTTAAAGTGAGTGAGCAAAAGGATCTGCAGCTTTTCCTAACTGTCTCTCTGCAGCTCCACGTCGAAGCTTCAATATCTGCTGCCTTAGTAAGAGATTAGGGAGATTTTTTTCCCAGAGGACTTAATGGAGAAGGGAAATTTCAACAGGTTCTTGCTCCTTAACCATGGTTATTTTATCATGAAAGCGAATGCTCAGTCCATGTGATGGGTCTCATGAGAACCAGGTTCTAGTGCAGTTCTGTCTTTGAAGACCTTGTGGAAGTCACTCCTTGCTGCTCTTTGCTGTCTATGAGGTGAGGTGATGATCATGGTGAATGCACCTGTCCCAGCATGGTGCTGCAAAAATTCCATGGGATGCTATGTGTGAAATAAAAGGAACTACCCTCCCCTCCATGACCCCCATGGCATTTACTGACTGCTTACCGTATGCCAGGCACATGCTAATATGTTAAATAAATACATTATCTAGTTAAATGCTTAAGGTGACTCACTGAAGTAGATGTTATTTCCATAACATTGGTAATACTTGATGAAGATAGTGTCATTTAATTCTCACTGCAACCTGCTGGGACAGATTGCTAATGAGACTTATTTTTCAGAATTGGAATCAGACTCAGAGAGGTGAAGCCACTTGCCCAACATCACACAGCAATTAATCAGTAGGATGGAGATTGATCCTAGCCTGTTTGGTTCCAAAGCCAATGCTTTGATGCTACACAATCTTGTTTTAAAGACAAGAAAATAGGTTTAGAGAAAGGCTAAGTGACTTGTCCAAGGGCACCAGGTTTCGACCCATGCCAGTCTGACTCCAAAGCCAGTGCTCATGCTGTGAGTTCTTACAAAAGAAGGAGACTCATGGAGATGATCATTGGATGACACTCACGGAGTGTCATCATTGTCTGTCTCTCATGCTTACAAATCTGGCACAGCAGTGGGGGCCTTAGGGCCCAACATTGTCCCCGAGTGTGCCTCCATGTGCCAGCTTCCAGAGCCGTCCCCTATGAGAGTTGAGGCGGCAGCAGACAAATTCATCATCCACAAGCAGAGACGGGGTGTGATGCTTGTGGAAGTGCGCAGTGAACTGTAATTACGGCAATAACAATAACTAATAAGTTACAGTCGGCATCCCAGTAGGCCAAAGGCAATGATGAACGTCTTCTAGTGCCTCATTTATTTCCAGCAAGCAATTTGCTTACTCAGGGAGACCTACACTTGGGAAGGGAACTCCGGCTCTAGGCTGCCTGCTCTCTGGGGCTTTCAGAGGTCAGAGGTCAGAGTTCTGGTGGATGAGGCTTTCTACCAGGAGGAGGACAGCTCAGGTTAGGAGCCAATCTCATTGATTGTTGGCTTGAAACTTCAAAGGATTCCTGTTGCCCTTAGGACAAAAGCCAGAATCCTTGAGCTTCATCCCACTTTGGTTGCATTTTCAGTTCCTGGGAGGTGCCATGGAGGCCCCTTTGACCACGTTTGCGCATGTGCTGCCTGTTACACTCTCCCCTCTGCCTCCGGCCTTCCCGCCCTCATCCCCCTAAACTTTGTTAGGCTGCCCTATCCAAATCTCAGCTTAAAGTCTCTTCCTCGGAGGAAACTTCTCTGATCCTCAGCCATCCCAGACTAAGTTGAATACCCTTTATTATTTGTTCTCACAGTTCTCAGTTGCTTTTCATGACATTTCTCACTTTCCCCCCGCACATATTCATAACCATTTGCTAAAAGAATGAATGAATAACTGTAGGATTCTTGAGAGGCAGTGTGGCACAGTGGTGGAGTGAATGGTTTTTGGAATTGGAAAGATATGGATTCGAGTCATGGCCTTACTGTTCACTAGCTGAGTGGCATTGAGTATGTCACACAGCCTCTCCCAGCCTCATTTTGTTATTTGTAAAATAAAGATATCAGGATCTACCTTGTGGGGTTATTGTAAGAACTCAGGCAGGTGATACACATGAACAAAGTACATGGCTCAGTGCTTGTCACAAAGGAAATACTCAGTAATTGTCTACTGCTCTTGTTAATATTATCACTATTATTCTGATATCCTTTATTTGCTGCAGGAGTAAAGAAAATGTACCTGGGTAGTTTTCTTTGTGTCCCATCTTTTTTCATGATCATCCTCCGGGCGTCTTCCCAAACGAGCTCCAGGAGCTTCTGCAGATCTGATGAGAATATGAGAGGTCACTCTTGACCAGAGGGCACGCTCGAGACAGGGTGGTGCAGGGCAGGGCCCAGCCTCCAAGCTGGGATCATCTCTGCCTCTGAGTGTAGAGCATCTGGAGGATTCCCTACAGGTCCAGGAGAGGCAGCTCACAGTGTGTAGCGGGCTGTAAATCTGACCATACAACTACTTCCCTGCTTAAAACCCCATCGGTGACTCTCCATTTTTCTTTTGATGACATCTAAATTCCTCTGCATGGCCTAGGAGGCCTTCCAGGATCTGGCTGCCCTTTTTACCTCCTGTTTCATGTCCCTTCCCTCCCCCCACCTTAAACTCTACTGCAGCCAGAGAGAACTGTTTCTACTTCCTAGAAGAAATCGTTTTGTTCAGGAAACTCTCTCTGATCTCCATAGGCTGGAATTTCCAAACTGGCAGTCCACAGGCTGAATCAGCTGACAAATGTGTTTTAATTGATTTGATGTGGATGCCAACCTTTTAAAACTGGAAGGTTTCACATAAAGATCCAGACCTCCAGCTTCCTTAGAAAGGAGTTTGAGATGGGACTGCCTTGCCCTTATTCATGGGGCATCTGGACGCGCCTTTGGACAGACATGTGCTCTCCAGCGCCCCCTACCTCCCACCACCCCTCAATGCATTAGCTAACTTTCATTTTCATCCTTAATAGTGCTGATTTTTATATAGTATAGACATATTTCCTCATACCTGAGTTATGGATTGAATTGTGCCCCCCTCCAAAAGATATGTTGAAGTTGTAATCCTCAGTACTTCAGCATGTGACCTTATTTGGAAATAGGGTTGCTACAGATGTAATTACAGTCATGCGTTGCTTAACGATGGGGATAAGTTACCTGAAATGCATCACTAGGTGATTCTGTTGTTGTGTGAACATCACAGAGGTAGTTATACAAACCTAGATGGTATAGCCCCATACACATCTAAGCTGTATGGTACAGCCTATTATTCCTAGGCTACCAGCCAGCATGTTACTGTACTGAATACTGTAGTCACTAGAAACATAATGGTGAGTATTTGGGTACCTAAACATATCAAAACATGGAAAAGAGGCCGGGCGTCGTGGCTCACGCTTGTAATCCTAGCACTCTGGGAGGCCGAGGCGGGTGGATTGCTCAAGGTCAGGAGTTCAAAACCAGCCTGAGCGAGACCCCTCTCTACTATAAAAATAGAAAGAAATTAATTGGCCAACTAATACATATATATATAAAAAAATTAGCCGGGCATGGTGGCTCATGTCTGTGGTCCCAGCGACTCGGGAGGCTGAGGCAGTAGGATTGCTTAAGCCCAGGAGTTTGAGGTTGCTGTGAGCTAGGCTGACGCCACGGCACTCACTCTAGCCTAGGCAAGAAAGCGAGACTCTGTCTCAAAAAAAAAAAAAAAAAAAACATGGAAAAGGTACGGTGAAAATATGACACAAGAGATAAAAATGGTACACCTATATAAGGCACTTACATGAATGGAGCTTGCAGGACTGGAATTTGCTCTGGGTGGGTCAGTGAGTGAGTGTGAAGACCTAGCACATTACTGTACACTACTGTAGACTTTATTACCACTGTACAGTTAGGCTATGCTACATTTATTTAAAAATTCTCTCTTTAATAAAACTTAGCTTATTATAACTTTTTTCTCTATAAACTTTTGAAGTTTTTAACTTTTTAATTCTTTTGTAATAATATTTACCTTGGAACACAAATACATTGTACAGCTGTACAAACATATTTTCTCTCTTTAAAACCTTATTCTATAAGATTTTTCTATTTAATTTTTTTGTTTTTACTTTTTAAGCATTTTTGTTAAAAACTGAGTCACAAACACACAAATTAGCCTAGGCCTATACAAGGTCAGGACCATCAATATCACTGTCTTTTACCTCCACAACTTGCCCCACTGGAAGGTCTTCAGGGGCAACGACATGCATAGAGCTGTCGCCTTCTATGACAACGATGCCTTCCTCTGGAATAGCTCCTGCAGGACCTTCCTGCTGCTGTTTTACAGTTAATTATATTTTTCAAATATAAGTAGAAGGAGTATACTTTAAAATAATGATAAAACATAGAGTGTAGCAAAATACATAAACCAGTAATATAGGCATTTATTATCATTATCAAGTACAATATTATGTACTGCATGTAATGGTATGTGCTATACTTTTACACCACAGACAGTGCAGTAGGTTTGTTTACACCACCTTCACCACAAACACGTGAGTAATGAATTGCACAATGTTACAATGGCTACGGCATCGTTAGGTGATAGGAATTCTTTCAGCTCCGTTGTAATCTTTAAAGACCATTGTAGTATATGTGGTTCATGGTTGGGGCAGATGGCTGAGTTCACACTGGAGCAGGGCGGGCCCTTGATCCAATGTGACTGGTGACCTTATAAGAGGAGAGAGACACACAGGCAGAAGATGTGATGACAGAGGCAGAGATTGGAGCGATGCATCCAGAAGCCAAGAAATGCCGAGGACTGCTAGAAACCACGAGATAAGGCAAGGAAGCATTCTCCTCTATGGATTTCAGAAGAAGCACGGCCCCGCTGACACACTGATTTTGGATGTCTAGCATCCAGAACTGTGAGACAATACATTTCTGTTGTTTAAGCCCCTCTGTCTGTGGTACACTGTTATGGCAGCCCTAGGAAACTAATACACTGGTACTCTCAAAAGTTGGATAATGAAACGCAGGTGGCGTAAGCTATGTGCGTCAAGAAAAGTGGAACAGTGGACGTGAATGTTCCTGTTTTATGTGGATACAGATTTGCAAAGCCTCGCCCACCTCACTCCTATAGAATCTGTTTGATACAAAACCGTGGGCTTTGGGACGTCCTTTCCCTGGAGCGTGTAGCTGTCCACGGTGCTGAAGCATCATGGTGTGAAGTTGTTAGTTGGTGACTGTGACTCCTCTGGAATTTCTTGTCAGATTTATGAACAAGAAGAGAGAAGAAGGGGGTTGGATTGAGAAGAGGAGGAAATACACAGAGAGCCATTGGAGAGTCAGAGACATCCCAAGAAATAATAAGGGGAGACTTTTGAGATGGCTTTCAAGTAATTCCAGGACCCAAGAAGAAAACTATAGTGGGCAATTACTGGAACTTGAGTGACTGAAGGGAGAGTTGTTAAAATATATCCTTAGTAGCACAATCTTGTTGCATCCCCAAATGGACAACATGCTATATGGCTGTCTCCACTGAGTAAAAATAATTTTTGATTTTTATTTTCTATGTCGATGGAAAATATTGGTGGTGTTTGCACTGTCTCAGAACAGACAGTAGAGTGGCTGATGTTGGTTTCATGTACTTTTGACAGATTATTACATCTTCTTCCCTCCCCTGGGATTCCGGAAGCATGTTCTCTTCCCTTCCTCATCCACCACACCCAGGCAAGGCGCCTATCTGGGGACTCCTGCAGCACATTCTCCTCCTGACTTCCATCACAGCATTGATTTCATGAGATGGCAACTGTCTGTTCCCTTGTGGGTCTTCCCCTCTAGACGTTGAGTTCCTTGAGGTCAGAAGCCACATTTTGTCTTCCACTAATAGCACCTGGCACCATGCTTAGCACACAGGATCTCTGTCAATAGTTGCTGAATAAATGAACAACTAAGGAGAAAAAGGAAGGAAGGATTTTGGGAGACTATGAACTAGGTTTGGGTACCAATGAAGGGTGACAATGCCAGTGCACCCCTTAGTAGGTACCTGTAGTTCACTCAAGCTTATCTCAAAAGCCATATCTGGAAGGGAGGCCAGAATACCAGTGCTTCCCAAGACCATTTGTGTCCAGCCTTGTTTATGAATGCAATCACTGGGTGCTAGGGAGAGAGTGCCTTTCCTTAATGACTTTGGAGCCATCTAGGCTGTGATAAATGTCAACATTAAGCCACTTTCCACTCCACTTCCTTGTTCTCATGTAGTTTACCTTCCTAGTAATTTGCAGACATGATTCCATTTGACCTGAACCTGACCTTCATTTTTGTCTTGTCATGTCCACCTGCCCATACAAGCCACACATCCCAGAATCCTGGGGGTGTGTCCAGAAGCGTGTTACTGAGGGAGCTGTGTTTGGTTCTTCTACTTTCTTCCCTTCTCTTGGAACAAGCAGCAACTTCTGACTGCTCCTCTACCCCTGTTCCCACCCAAAAGCAAACCAGGCTAGGGTGGGTGGATACCAGAAAATGACCCTAGTGCCCTGGTACATTAGGCAGCCCTCTTAAAGAATCATACATAATGATTCTTAATGCACCACATTTTTTTTCTGCTTGCCAAATGCCTCTGGGAAGGAATGTACCCACCAATATGAAGGTCCATCCATCAAGGAACTGAGGTTGGATATGTGTGAAATAGAACAAAGCCTTGGGACTTCTCAAGGCTACCTGAATAAAAAGACTTGTTTGGAAAGGGTACAGATGCTACTTTCTGAGGAAGACAGTCCTGTGACATGTGTCCATATGCAGGGACTGCCCACTTCTCAGTTTCCAGGCTGTGGGGATATCATTACCTCTGGCTCAGAGACAGTGGTGTCCTTTCTTCTCAGATGCCAAATCACATCCCCAGAGAAAAAAAATTTTGTCTTCCTTTTTTCATCTTCCATCCCCAGTCTGTCTAAGAATCTCATCCTTGAATGACTGAGCCCATTTCTTCTTCTTTTGGGGGAAAAATAGAGGAGGTCCTTTTATTATATGGGGCTGGTTTGAGGGGGAACAATATATGGCCCATATTTTGAGTTGCTATTTAGGTGAGTCTCTTTTAATAGTTTCAAGACTCATAACTTCAAGTCCAGCAGAAGGAATATCCTGGGCTTTGGTTTCTTGGGAATACACCTGCCATTGATTTGGGGAGGGGATCATTCCTTGGAGAGGCCACAACCTGCTGTCACGAGCGTTTGCATCCACAAAGACTTCATTATGCAGCCAGCCCTGGAAATTAGACCTTGGTCAAATGGCATGTCTCTCAGAATAGGATTCATGAATTCAGAATCAATTCAAGGAGGTTTTAGAAGGCAATGAGAGGCCTGGGGAATTAATCTACTTTTGTCAAGGCTGTGACGACTGGGATGGAGGTTAAGGTATAAATGGAGGAAAAGGGTGGTGAAGATGAAGGGAGTACTTTCCTCCCAGGGGTACATCTCCAGTGGAAATGCATTTTTCAGCTATTTTGTGTACCTACTGTGTGCCAGGCTGAAGGTGCATAAAACATTATTGTTCTACCCTTGCAGGGAGCTCATGTTTCTTTTTCCCTTTTTCCTTAGTAATAGAACTATGATTCTTTCTATGTGTGTAAGGGGAAACATTTACTAGCTCATGTTCCCAACATCCTTTGCAGCTGAATGTGACTCTGTGACTAAGTTCTGGGCAATGAGATTTTAGTAGAAGAATAGTACAGCACTTCTGAGAAGGCTGCTTAAACTTAGCTGGAAATGGGCACTTCTGTACTTTGTCTACTTCCTTTTTCTTCCAGCCTAGAATGTGGATGTGATGGCTGGAATTCCAGCAGCCATTTAGGATCATGAAGTAATGCTGAAGGTGGCAGAGAAGAAAGAGAAGGAATCAGAATCCCTGATGATCTTTTGGAGCCACCTCATCAGCTCTGAACTTGTCTTCTTTAATCTGCACAAGAAATAAACTTTTTATCTTTTAAAAGTCACTATTTTTTAGGTCTCTATACTAAGCCAAAAGAGGTTCCTATTGGATACAATTTAAAACAGTGAGATGCTGTTGTAAATTAAAATTAAGAACTCAATAAAAGCAAATACAAAGTACTAAGATACTTGAGAGGAGGGAAACTGGGGGAGTCAGGGAAGGCTTCACAGAGAAGGGAACATTTGAGCTGAGTTTTTAAGGTTGAGTAAGAGTCTATTACAATGTAGGATCAGCGGTGAAAGGGCATTTCATGTCCTTCCTGTCCCTGCCTTTCTCCCTCTCCTTTCTGCCTCCTCCATCTTCTGTATGAATCCTTAGGAATCCTTCTCTTTCTTTTCCTACCTCCTTCTACTATACAAGCTCAAGCCAGAAAGTTCTAAGAATAAATTTTTCATATGACTTATGGAACCCAGTCACCATTCTGTCTGGTTCAGGTCCACAGCCTCCCCACCCCCCAGATAGTATGCAAATTTGTGTATATATGTGTATTTGAGCTTTTTTCCTTAGGTGAGTTTTCAAAATAGTTTTCAACAGATTTTCTAAAAGATCTGTGTCCCCAAAATTGTGAACCACTGAAAAGGCTTATTCCAGAGTGTCGATCACAGAGTGATACAACTTCCATCTACAGAATGTTTAGAAAAGACAAATCCATAGAGACAGAAAGTAAGTTTGTGGTTGCCTGGGGGCTCTGGGTGGGAAGGACACTAGGTTTTCTTTTGGGTTGATGGAAATGTTCTAAAATTAGATTGTGGTGATGGTTACACAACTCTGTAAATATACTGAAAATCATTGAATTGTACCTTTAAAATGAGTGAATTTTGTGGTATGTGACATATACCTTAATATAGCTATTAAAAAAATAGACACTGAATTTCAAACACAGGGTGAAAAAAATAAAATATCTCACTAGTAATTTTTTATACTGATTACATGTTGAAATGATAATGTTCTGTATAAATTGGGCTAAATAAGAGAACATTTTTTAATACTAAAAAAGGGAAATTGGTGGCCATGGTCTGTCTCCCTGGGAGAAATGGCTTAGAGTAACCCAAGTTGTATATTTCTTATCTTCACTGGGGAAAACAAAGGATCATAAGGAAATTGAACAGAGCCAGGGGGCTCCTACATCTCCTTTAATGGAGTAGGGGTGGAGATGGAGCCACAGGGGCTCTTGATGTTTGGCTTGAAGGCAAAGAGTCAGGGCCAATTGGTCAGATTTCAGGTAGGACTTACAGATATGGAGAGGTTCTTCATCAGGCTTGGTTGAAGACGATTCATTGTCCTCGATGTCCTTGCTGCCAGTCACCTGGGTGACCACACTCTGGGGGTCATCTGAGCCAGGGTTCACAGAGACCATGCTACTCTGGGGGGATGATCCCCCACTGGTCCGACTCAGACTGAGGGTGGAGCCACGCCGGCTTGGCTTGCGGTTGGTGACTCGCGTGACAGGAATTTTTAATTTCTTGGGCTAAAGGAAAGAGAGAAGAAAGACGGGTTTCAGAAGGGTGGAAAGAACAATGGAAGAAAGGAAGGGGAGAAAGGATGAGGGAAGAAGGGAAGGGAAGGGAAGGAAGGAAGGAGGGAAAGAGTGAAGGAAAGAAAGAGGGAAGGAAGGAAGGACAGATGGGCAGAAAAAGCAAAAACCTGGCTCTGACTATGAACTCCTTATCATTCTTTCCACACACCATGAGACATATGCTGGATCTGGAGTGACCTTTTGTCACAAAGTGTGTATTATTTGAAGCAAGTGTGACAGACCTTATTCTATTGCATGAGTGCATGGTTGACAAAATAGTCACCATGCGAGGCAAATATGTATTCCAATGATGTCGCCAAGACCCAGAATAGTTTTTGACTTTTCTATACTGTAGAAGAGGATGGGTCTAATTTCTTTAGCTATATCTTGGTTTGGACCCCAAATTGCATGCATCAACTTCTTATTTACCCATTTGATGCCTGGGCCTCATAGAACGAAGATTTGTATCCACTGGGGTTTTCTAAAGAACTCAAGGTGGAGAAAATTCTACGCCTGAATTTAGGAGGTGGAGTGGGGGGAAGCAGATTTGTCTGGTGGGGTGTGGATTCTTACAGGGGGAGGAGCCATGGTGGAGTCATCCAGGAGGTGACACATCCTAGATGAGATTAAGGGGTAGGAAGGGGAAGTCTTGTGAGGGGAATGTGGATTTTTGGAAGGAAAGTAGTTAGAAAGAGTTGGCAACAGGAGTGTATTTGTGTGTATGTGTGTGTGTATGTGTGTCTACCCTCCTGCAAAACTGATGTCACTTCATAATGCACTGTTTGGAGTTACGACCTTGTTTAACTCATGATCCAAACTTCAGAGAGGCCTCCTAACTTGCCCAAGATCACACAGCTAGTAAGTAGCAGAGCCAGGATTCAAATCCAGGTCCGGCTAACACCAAAGCTAATTACTATGCCTTACTTGAAAATACTCTAGAAGCCTTTTTCAATGGCATTGAAAATACCCTTGATCTCATGCTCATGGTTCTTTATGGCATTTAAAATGCCAGGTGGGGAAGAACAGGTCCTCAGCTGCTCCAGTGAAAGAGCTCATTACAGGCTGGCTACAGTTTATACTCAATTAGTAGAAAAACATTTATTTGAGAACATTTAAATGAAAGCTCTTGAGCGGCAGACTAACGTCTTCCTTAGATGAAACTCATGGTGTTTGATATCCTAAGAAAGGAGACAGGGAGAAGAGGCAGCACTGAAGGACACACCAATATTTAATACATATTGAACAGTGTGGACAGAATTGTATTTGTCAGGATTCTTTTTCAGGAAGTCCACTGTAGGTGACCACAAGTAGTATTTTGATTGGCTTCCTTGTGGGGCCCTGAATATGGGTGGAACTTTCCTGCATTGGAAGAGGGGAGGGATTTCTTGGTTGCACAGGGGAGGAAGAAGGTTGGGAGAGGTCAGGGGGAAGGTTGTGGGGCTGAAGATGAGATCTCTCCCTGTGCCTGCCCCTGTCTCCCCTAAATCTTCAGTGAAATTCTGTACAAATGACAGAATGCTTGAGAATGTGACAGACTGGAGAACTGGAGTTTGAACTGAGTTCAACCAGATCTCCACAGGGGCATGCAGTTTATAAAATTACTGTGATAAAGAAAAAGCGAATACCAAAAGTTGGCAACCTTATATAAATTAGGAGCTTGGTACGATGTTTCCCTTGTCCTGACACTGCCATTGGTCAACAGCTTGCCAGCCTGACAGAGAGCCCCTCTACTCCCTGCCACCCTGGGGAGAGAGGACGTCAGGGCTCAGGGACGATACGTGCACAAGTTGCTTCTTTCTCTTTTGCCTGGCACAATATGAATTCCTGATTCCAGGAACCAGACTCTTTAGATCAATGTAATTTTTGAAGGCTGGACAGATTGTGTCGTGAGGGCAGCCTGGAGTCTCGCAATGAGCACTGGAGTCAGAGCCAGGGGAACCTCAGGGGCCACTCATACTGCCCTGCCTCAGTTTCCTCATTTATAAAACAGAAGGAACGGACTGGGATGATCTCAGAAGAGCCTTCCATATCCAGAGTTCCATGTGCATCTTCCTTGAGCTAGGATTTCAGCTTCTGCTCCTAAAGTTGCCATTCATTAAAATGTAATTAACCACCTTAGTCAGGAAATCCAAAGTGAAGGGCTGACACTTCTGATTGAGAGTGGCAGAAAAATAAAATGTTGGGGGAAGAGGTGACAGGCAGTGTCAGCATCTTGCTTGCCCTTTATTGAACCCACTCTCTCTGAATTGACTTAAATCCCTCAGTGCTGCTTCCCTATATTTTATATTTCACTCAGGAGTGGTGGAACCAGCTGCTGGTTTCCGTCTCAGTAAAGGCTGACTTCCGGCAACAGAGGAAAAGATTTCTTTGAATGGTTCCTCACACTTTCTATGAAGCAGGGGTTGCAAACTGGAGCCTACGGGGAGACAGGTTTAGCTACCCAGGAGTTTAAAAATTGGGAGATTTTTATGTAAAAAACTAAGGTTTTTGGTTTCTCTTGAAAGTGGTAGGCACTGGGTTACCATTCTCACATGGCAAAATGAGCTAGAGCTGATTTCTTTCCCTTAGGTGTGCAGAAGTGCTCCAGTTTGCCACAGACCTCACCACTCCCTAATGTGTGCACATCCATCCTGGCTTTTTTTTTTCATTAATACAATTTACCTGGCCACGAACATGCGTTGGCACCGACAAGCTCTATGCACACAGAAGTCTATCAAGAGTTGTGGGAGGTGGTGAGATTCTTTCTTTCAAAGTCCTCAGTTTATGGGCAAGAGAAACTGAGATCAGGAGAGGGGAAAGGACTTGTCCAAGTGAACTGAATCACTGTGGCTGAGCCAGGTCTCTTGAGTCCCAATTTAACATCCTCACCCCTAAAGTGGACCACGCTGCAGCCCAGGTTTGACCCACAAACTTGCCGGAGAATTCAATGTGTGAGAGTCTAAGGAAAGCAATTCACTCTCCCCTCCTCCAATTTTGGTGGGGAATATTGCTGAAGGACTTTTTTTGTTGTTGTTTTTTAAAGGTTTGTGGCTCCTACTGCTTTTTCGGTGCATTTCTGGAGACAGATGCACACGATGTCTCCATAGCAACTTTCTGTAATAAAAACAAACGCTCTTAATTCTCAAGCCTAGGAGCACCCTGCTGAAAGAGCAAGAAAATGGTGAAACTCTTCATCTAGGGCAATTATAATCATGACATCACGGACAACAGGCATTTGAAGAGCCCAGTGTTTAATAAATAGACCCAGAATTAACTCCTGTCTCTGCCATTACCCAGCTGGGCAATCTCATGCAAGTCACTTAACCTGAGCCTCAAATTCCTCCTCTTCCACCTGGATATAAGAATAGTGTTCCATGGGGTTATCAAGAGGGCATAATATACCTAAAGAGCTTCCTAGCACAGAACCTGGCCTGTTGCAATTATGTTGAAAAGTGGCCCCTAAACATTATACAACTACAATAGTGCTAAGCATTTTCACATTTTCAAAGTGAGTTTGCCTAATTTTTTTGTAAGGTGCTTCACTCAAGTTGAGAGGTAGGCAGATGTGTGAGCATTATATCTATTTTGTGGGCAAGGGAACAGGTTCAGCAAACACTAGTTATGTGCTCGCTCAACTACCTTCCCCTATCTGAATATTAACTCTTGCCATTATGATTACTACGGGGCTTGTTTGTTCAGTAGAGGAACTGGGGAGGTTCTAGGTTAGGAATAGCTTTGGGTAAAAAGAATCTATGTCTTGACATCTTCTTAATAACAAACATATGTCCTAGTTTGTAGAAAATCCTGTCTACTGAGTTAGTCATTTCTTGTTTTCTGACTGAGTTAAGAAAAAAAAGAGAGAGAGAGCGATGTGACTGTTATTGATTTAAAAGATAGAGCAAGATGAGTCCATTTCCTTCTGGTGACATCTTATTAAGCAGCCGCTTAGCACCCCCTCCCTTCCCCATCAGGTAGCGTCCAGCCAAATGTCATTTCTCCTCTAATCCCCAGATAACCATTTTAATTAAAATTTACAAAGAACATCCAACGGCATGTGGTTCTGACTTCACTCTGAGAACCAACTAGAAAAAAAACAACCAAAAAACATTCCTATCAGAAGAAAGATGGACAAAATGCTCCTCAATCCAAGTTAGGGCCCAGGAGCCGGGCGGTCTGCTCGCCTATGGTTGGTTACCTTTGGCGCCGTGATGAAATGTTCCCACCTCTGTCCCATGGACTTGTCCTTATTGATTTTTTTAACTATACTCTTGCTTCCACCAGGGTCCCTGAGTAAGAAACAGTTTAATGAGTTTTCTGTTTCCAGAGCTTCGGTTTATTGCAAGTACTTTTAAGAAAGGTAATGAGTGGAGGGGGATGGTGGCTGGTCTCTGCGCGTGTGAAGGAGCAGGAGGCCCAGTTCTCAGCTGCTGGGTCTTTTAAGTGGAACTGGGGTTAGAAGAGACCATTGCTTACTGGGGGGAGGCTCAGGGAGGTGGCATATATCTGTATGCTTTTTGCATCTCTTTGTAGTTTGGACTCCTGGGCAGGTCTGCAGTTACTCCCGGGCGTGAATATGAGATCCACGTTCATTTCCGGGTCTCTGCTTGGACCATTGCCTAAGGGTCCCACCAACAGGGACACTTCTGAGTGACACACAGAGAATATTACTGGGTTGGGTTGAGGGGAGCTCATGGGGTTGCCCAATAAGAATCACTCATTTGAGGTTTATTCAGCAAAAGTTCTCTATGACGCTATGTGCAAAAAAAAAAAAAAAACAAAAAAAAAAACCACTTCTGTGCCTTCTCACTGAATCATCTCAATTACTGTAACCTTGTGATGTAGTCATTGCCATCCCATTTCACAGCTGAGAAAACAAACTCAGGGGGCCGAAGTCACTTACCGGATGCGGATGTACAATGAAAATGATGAAGCTAAAGCTCCAGGGCCTGTCACTGACATGGGTCCCTTCCCCAGGCCCCTGTGCCTAATTTCATGTTGTAATTTTGTATCCTTTTTCTTAAAGTGCCCCCTGCCTCAATTAAATAAGCTTCAGGTCCCAGAAAACCTGCATCCTCCCCTCACAGATTGAGAACTTTCTGGACAGGAGACTAAAGCCCCAGCAGGCTCTGGGGGTCACATGCCCATCATCCTTTATCTGGAACCTGTGGGACCAGATGTGTTGCCAAATTCATAATTTTGGCATTTTTGGCATTTGGAAAATAAGCAGCGTTATGGATGCTGCATATATTGTATGTTAACAAAATCCCTCTGATGGGGTTGGGAGCAGCAATCTGTAATCAAGCACGTTAATATTTCTGCAATGAAGCACATGGATGTTTACACTAGGTGGGATAAATAAAGACTATAAATAGCTTCAAGTCAAGCTTTGCTGCCATTTTTGTTCTTGCCAGATTTTGCTGCCAAATGAGTTACAAAAAAACTGAGTTTTTAGAGCCTTTGGGATCTTGGGCTTGTGGATATAGGACAGTGGGTCTCTATTGATAAGTAAGCAGGTGGTCTCAACATGTGATCTCTCAACTGCCTTTACATATCTATTGATTGATTGATTGATTGGTCTATCAACCCACCCATCCATCCATCCCTCTCTTTATCCCCTTTTTTGCTGCAGAAAGGATTTTGGATGGGTAGGATCCTTTAAAGCATTTGGCTGGCTTTCACCTAGCATAGAGCAGGGATTGAGGAAATGAGAAGATGGACAGACCTGTTTTGATGGGGGCAATGGAGGTCTAGGCTTGTTAGCAGGTGCTGAGTGTATTGCTGGTGGTGGGGGAGGTGCTTAGGTATAGAAGGTGAAAGGTGATCAAGATAAACCTGACTTACCACTGACTTCCCATGGCATGGGGCATCTGAGTAGCAGAAACAAGGGCTTTTCCCAGTCCAAATGGGAAATGTCTTCTCACCAGCGGGACCTTGCTGAACATCTACCAGTATTTCTCATGCACTACCAGGTAGTGCATGAGAAATACACTAGACCCCAAGGTGGAAGTTAGGCTGGGGAGGGCAGGATGAGAATGTGCCTCCGAGGTTTTGTAAGACTCTTATGTTTGATTACACAATAAAAAGCCCTCTGAATAATTAACAGTGAAGCTCATTTAAGTTGGTTCTGCCTGCCTCTCCCCTGAGTAATCAAATTAGGGGGATATTTAAAATCCAGCCAGAGGAAGAAGAAGTAATACTTTGGTCCTATAAACAATATTTAAACTAGCAGTGCTTTTGAAGTCTGATTTAAGGCTCACCAACTGGAAGCTTTAGCATTTTTTCTTTTTTTTTTTTTTTTTGCTTTGCCGCATTTCTTTCAAGGCTACAGGCCTTTTTGCTTTTCCCTTTGCTAAGGCAGCCCCTGCTGAGCCGCCAGCCTTCTTCTTGAAGTTCAAAAGCAACCCCCTTTCCCCTTTTAAAATTAAATCTGGTCCCAGCCAAGCTTTCAAAATCTTAAATATTCAGGCCCAGTTGGGAAGATGGAAGTTTTCCCCTTAATGCTGACTTCCAAGATGACCCGAAATCTATTGCGACTTCAAGCACCAGGCTAAATGAGTTAAAAATGCAGCAAGACTCCTACAGACCTTAAGAAAGCTCTGAGCCCTTGCTCTCGCAAAGCCATTGATAAAGAAAAGACCGGGTTAGACAGAACCGGTCTTTCTGATGTTTCATTTTCAGTAGCAAATAAACCAAAGAGGAAGATCAATAGGGAGAAGAAAAAAATAAAATAAAATAAAACCACCTGAGCTGAGTCGTCCACTACACACCTTGGAGAAGTGTGGGGAAGGACCAAACAAGTTGGTGTTCCTTCCCCATGGTCTGGTGGGGTAATCATGAGTGTGTTCACCAAATAGTCCCAGTTCTGTCCTGCTCCCTGAAGGCAGGCCTGACATTGTGCTTTGCTTTGTTCAAAAATATATGAGCGAAAGTGTCATGTGGCACTTTGAGCAGATGCTTGAAGAGTCAGCCTTCAAGTCATCAGATTCCTTTTTTTTTGCCTCATTGATGGTGGAAGCTTGTGTTGAGATGGAGCTTCTGTCAGCCTGGGTCCCAGACTGAGCAAATGAGCAAAGAGCCCACCTGTACAACATGCAGGGTGAGCCAGAAATGAGCTTCTGTTTTGCTTCTCAGCCTGAAGCCACTGAGATTTTGGGGGGTTGTTCATTACGGCAGCTTAACCTAGCTCACCTGATAGCTGGCCTCTGATTTACTGTCTGTGTGACCTCAGGCAAGTGTCTCTGAGTGTCAGAACCAGGAAAGTGTCATCCTGGTAGATAAGAGGGAATTTAATAATTGGGTGGACCAGCTAGCTGTCCTCTGCCTCAAAGCTTCCTACATGTGTAACTTTGTGTGTGTTATTTAGCCTCTCTGAGCCTTGGTATTCCCATCTGTAAAATGGGGGGATGATATTAGCTATGCCAAAGGATTGCTGGGGAGATGAAAAGAAATGGGGCGTGGTGGGTGCCTTGTACAGAGAACTGAATACAGTTCAGCTGCTAACAGCAATAACATGCTTTTTTCAATGGAGATCTTTGAGTGGCTTAGAGGAAGTGTTGATGAGCTATGAGGGCAGATCCATGGGAGATAAGTAGCTAAAATTCCCAGACCATAATTCCCCCTGCCGAAGCTTTCTGGGGGATCCTATTTGCCAGAAATCAAGGGAAAAGGGCATCGAGCCCTGTCAAATTTCTTTTAACTGTACCCACCAAATACAGTTTGTTCTGGGTGGCCACTTGAAGATGTCTTATCCACAGTGGCAATCAGAGCAATTTTCTCAAACACTTCACTCCTTCTGAACTCAAGCTTGGGGGTAAAACGTCTGCTTCTCAGGGTGGAAAAGCTTGCTGGCTGGTTTAGGGACACGTGCTCATGTGTCCAGGACCAAGGGAAAGAACCGTTGATTTTGCCCTGGGAAGGGGGCAGAGGTCAAAGCTCTTGGGGTTTCCCAGACCAGGTGGCTCTGTCCTGCCTCCCGGGTGATAATTTGATCATCCCGCTGTGTTCTGCCACTCTGTGGAGATCTGGTCAGCTGGAGTACCAGAGTGGAGAATGAGGCAATTAAATCAGTGTGAAGAGGAGAGCAGGGGAAATCAGAGATTTCACTCAAATGTCTTTCCTTGATGATCCAATTTAAAAATAACTCCCCCCCCTACCCTGTCACTATCACTCCACCCTGAATTTCATCATAACACATTGCTATCACAACGTATCCTGATTATTATATATCTAATATCTGTAGCTTCCCTCCTAACCCCCAGAATGGAAGCTCCTGAGAACAGGGATATTGTCTGTTTTCTTCTCTGCAGCATCCCTGATAGTAAGTAGTGCCTGCAATAAAGCAGGTTTGAGGAAACTGAGATTTTCTTGTTGTGGGGAGTGGAGAAGGGCACCACAAATAAGGGGAAAACAATTTAAATATAAAACATTTAAATAAAAAATTGCTAATGGGTGTTGTTGGGAACGTTGCTGCATTGTTTCAGGAAAAGCAAACCCTTGGAAAAGACATGTGGGTCTTGGGATTTTGGTTAAATAAGTTTTTATACATTCATAGGTTGTTAAACTGCAAAGCGGAGGTTCAGGCATGGAGAGATGCTCCTTGTATATTAACTCAAATGGCAAAAATTTAGTTGCAAAACAGTCTGTGCAGAATGGCACTTTTAATTACTGGGCAAAAGAAAATGACATATTACATATGATATCTTGATAAATCAGGTCCCTTTTGTATCCCAGGGTCCTCTAGTAAGTGCCACTTTGTAATAAGACATTCTTTTTCTTGGAGGCAGGCACCAGCTAATTCTCCAAAATAATTGCGGACTTTGAGCTTTAGCTACAGACGGAGGATCCAACCATTTAGTGGTGAAGCACTCGTGCTTTGCAGTGAGGTTAACTGGGTTCAAATCCTGACTCTTCTTTTGCTAGCTATGCAACTTTGAAACAAATTGCTTAAATTTTCCATGCCTCAGTTTCCTCACTGGCATGTTGGAATGAGGCTTAAATGAGGTAATACACCCAGAGCAGAGTGCTTGACATAGAAAGTACTCAAACTCTAGCTGTTTTCATCATAAAACAGTGGAAGGATTTAAGTGTTTACATTATATTTGACACATCAAACTGTGGTTGCCTTTTACCCACCTATGCTAAAGGAAGGGTGGGTTCTTTGTGCCTGGGCAGCCCAGCCCTTGAGTGTCTGCAGTCTCTTAATAAAAGTTAGGATTCTACCCAGCTGACCTCCCCAATTAAGAGTGGGTCCAGTGGTGTCTTTCTGGAACAGCCCGAGGCAATAAGACTTAGACAACTCTTTTGCTTCGGTGGCTCCTGGGCAGAGCACAGGGATGTGGGGACTGTTGAAACAACTCCTTCGAGGTGTGTGCGGTACCTGTTTATTCCTCTCTTTGGCCAAGGGTTTGCCCTGTTTTTTCCCAGTGGGACTGGGGAAGATGCCTGAGGGGGTGGTGGGGGAGGTGGCGTCAGAGCTTGTCATATTTCCCCAACATCTGGTGTTGGTTGCCTATTTCTCTGTAAAGGTCCACTCATTTCTAGCTAGTCCCTCTGGTCGGTCTTAGAAAGTTAGTCTCTAACAGGAACACACTAATCTAGATTCACGACCCCTTACCCAATTCCAAACTCCAAAGCGTCTTGAGAACTAGAAACATTTTAATAACTTATTTGCAGCAAAATGTGACATGAACTGATGAGAGGCTATCGATGGCCTTTATTGGTATTTATCATGCACTTAGAGTAAATATTCACTTATTTGTTTTCTGCAGAAATATTGTGTTTGATGACGGGGCTCCTTTGGGAGTGTGGTGTTCTAAATGGTATATGCCCCGTATTTCCTTTTTTAAATGCAAAAATAAAAACTCAGAATTCTGAAACACAGTTGGCTCTAAGGGTTTGAATAAAGACTTGGGAATCTTTATGAAAAAAAAAATCAGGTCAACTTTGCCTAAACAGAGGCTTGTATCTCTCGGAGAAGGGTAATTAGCACATTCATAATTAAAGGCTCAGTTTCTGCTTTAGTTGTGGACCCGATCATCTTGTCAATTGAAATAAACTCTCTTGTTAGCAGCAGAATTAACAAGGGTGCTGAGAAATGATAATGTGTTTGAATTGCTACATGATGACATTGGGAAGCTGAGAAGTTTTTTTTTTTTCCTAAGGAAAGCAGAAACTCCGATGCATCTCATAATGACATCCTAAAATCTGTCATCTGTCTACTCACCCAGTCGTCCACCAATCCATCCAAATAGGAGCTCTTCCTACAACCAACGAAAATCACCCTCCTGCTTGCAGCACACTAACTGCTAGTTAGTGGAATTTTGCTGCTTGTAGAGAGCCCATGTTGAAGTATTGAACTACTCCCACTTTCTTGCTATAAAACCCATGAGGGGGAGGAATTGGATCTATACCTGTCATTATGCCTAATACGAACGAAGCCTCTGGGATCTGCAGGTCTCCAGGGACGGATGTTTCCTTTTGGAAAGTGCAAGGTGGGTGTCAGAGCTCTGGGTTTAAGTCTCAAAATGCTTTAATAATAAGAGACACTGGCTACTTAATGGAGGACTCTCAGAAAAGCATAGTCAGGAGAATGAGATTTGGTTTTTCCTCCTTAGAGTAATTCCCTGGATTGTTTATCTTTGCAATTAGATTCCTTGTGTAGACTTCTTTCCCTGTCTGTTTGTATGTTTGTCCAGCTACCCAGTGAACATGGATCCCATGTGTTGGTAAAATTCTGCTTAGAAGTTTATAATTTCTTTAGCTCAGCTATGAAAGCACTATATAAAAAAAAAAGAAGTTTATAATTTCTTTCCCAGCCTTAAGTCTCAATGGTGTTTATAACCACATACCTAACTGCTCTTCAAAAAAGGGACTTTTATCATTAATAGCTCTCATTTGGTGAACACTCACTGTGCTCCCAGACATTAGGCTAAATGTTCTATGTATTTTATCTTGTTTAATCCTTAACAATAACTCTTCTGAGGCAGGAACCCATTTCATAGATGAAGAAACAGAGGCCCAAAGATCTTAAGTGACTTGCCCAGGGTCACACAGCTATTAGATGGCAGAGCCTGGACTCATCCAGGTCTGTCTGATGCTAAAACCTTTGTTCTTCCATCACTCTGATCCTTCTAGGTTTTTTAAAAAAGTACTTGAAGAGTTGGGGAAATTCAAATTCATATTCATAAGGGTGAAATATCATAAATAGGGATTAAGCATTAAAGAGACGATAGCCTTCTGCTTTCTTGCTAATTAAAAAGATGTTTTCTGACACTTCCTAGGAAACTTAACCCCCCTCACCCTGATTCATAATTAAAAAAAAAATCCCAAACAGTGGTGTGCTCGAGATGTCTCATATTGTCTCACAAGAACTGATTTTGTGCATCTCTTCCTAACTCCAAGTTCAGTAACATCATCTTGGTAAGCTTGACTCAGTTATGGAGAGAGTATTTACACCATGGAAATTGGCATTGTTACAAATCATGGTTCCTGGCCTCCTAGAGAACTGCTTGTTAAACACTTACCAGCATACCACTGACCTCAAGCTAAAATCCCCATCAAGAGGAAATGGTCCCCTAGAGAAAGCAAATCCCAACAAATACTCTACTTTCTATGCAAATCTTACCTGGACTGCATTTTTCTCTCAGGTCAGGTTCAGGTTCTGCTTTTATAGAACTGGACATCCTGAGATCCCTAATGGAATTCTGCACTTCCCAGTCACGATAGAACACCTGATACTCTCAATGTGACCACTATGTCTTTTTACTGCAGTTAACAGTTTTTGGTCACATTTCTAAAACCAACCAAAGGAAATAAAGATGGTCCCTTTTTTCTCCTCAATCCAAATTCTACATATTCTTTCCTCTGTTGAGAGGGAATGGTTGCTTGTATGTCAGAGGCAAAACATTTTTGTTGTTGGCTTGCTCAGGGAGATAAAATGCTATTGGAAACTCACGGACACAGAGGCCCTTTTTCTTAGAATCTAAGCAGTCAGCTGTGGAAAAAGAAAATAGATGTTGCTTTTACCTAGAAATTCCCATTTCCCATAATCTATCAAGCAGAAATATTTGCAACTGAGCATAAAAGATAGGCATAAGGATATTCCATATTTGAAATGTCAAAAGTCTGGGAATGACCTCAGTGTCCGGCAATACAGAAATGGTCATCTAAATTACGCTCCATCCGTACGATAGAGTACTCTGCTGTTGTTAGCAGAATGTGGAAACTTTGTATGTGCCATCTTGGAAGGATGTCTTTGAGTCATTGTAAAAGGGGGAAAAACCATGTAGAGAACAATAAGTAGAGTATGATCCCATTTATGTTAAAAAATGTATCTGCATGTATTTATAAAAGGAAGCCATTAGAAAGACTTGGAAGGACATGCCTTAGACCTTTACAAGGGGTTTTCTCTAAGGAGGGGATTTCAGGGAGGGAATGAAGGCTTTCATACTTTACACACTTGTACATTTTTTGGAAAAATTTCCGTAAGAATAAATTGTGTTCCCTTATTACTTGATCAGTTTAGTTAAAAAACAAAACAAACATACAAAAAAACCCACAAAAAACCGCATAGTAAATGTTTTAAGGTTGTGGCTTTCAAATAAATTCTGGGAGCCATAAAAGATATTCTGGAAATAACTGGGGTGCCATGGGGGGGTGGGAGCAAGTTGGAGGTACCCCAGTTCTCCGTGGCCCACAAACCTCTTGCTTCATGCAGAAGTTCCATTTAGAAAAATCTGTTTTACATTATTGGGGCTTCCATTAAAAAAAAAAACAATGGATTTCTGCTGTTTAAAAATAAAGTTTGCAAACCACTTGTGTATCAAAGGAAACTACAGTTTTAAATTCATGCTAACCAAAAACACCGAATCGATTTGGAGTTACTCATTGGTCAATAGATGCAAGATTTATATTTCTGGTTGTATCTGAGGTTAATTTATCTGGGCTCTGGTGTAACAGATAACTTGGGGGTAGAAGGGATTTGGGGATTTGGGGGATGGGTGGTAAGCATCCTCAGGAGGAAGGAATTGATTAAGACTCAGGATTTTGGAAGAGGAAGAAGAATGAATTCACTTGGAAGGCAGGACAGGGAGAGGGTGCCAGTGTCAGGTGGGGGTCAGGGTGGGGAATGCTAGCATTGGAGATAGGGAACTATTTTATTTAACTCAGCTGTGGTTTTCACAGTGCAAATCCAATTCCTCAGGTCATGGTTCTTTACTTATTTTTTTGTGTGTGTCCCATTCTTGCAGACAACCTGACTCTTCTTAAAGAACCAGTGTCTTCCCATGCCTGTCTGTTTCTTGTTCTGCACCTTGTGTGTACCACGTGGTTTCTGCAACAGTGAACTCAAAACTTTTGTGTGGGCCCTTCCCTCTGGGTGAGGACACACCTAACATTTCTCTTGGCCAAGACATGTTCTGGAGCTTCTGCCTGTGCAGACATAGCTGCTCAAGGGACCTGAATACCAAGTACTTCCTTGGGTCCAAGTGGAGAAGTAGACACCAATGCGTATTAAAAACCAATGGAACAAAAGAAAACCTTGAGGGAAAGGAGAAAAACAAGAACAAAGAAAAAGAGAAGAATAAAAGGGAAGGAGAGAAGGAGGAAAAGAAAAGAACAACAAACAAAGAATAGTGCCGGGGAGACAGTCCAAGAAGAGAGTTGGAGAGGAATCCAGCTGTGGTGTGCTGGTATCACTTGCCCATTGCTGTGGTGTAAATGTTTCCACTGTGGCAGATTGATATCAAACTACCAATGTGATGTTACTGAATGTGGAGCTGGAAAGAGATGCTGGAAGGAGATGTATATCATTGACTCTTACAATTCTATGTGAGTTGGCTCCATTTCACCCCTGTTTGGACCCCACAGAGCACATAAAAGAGCTCCTAAAGCAACCCACCCACCAAAAACAGCCAAAGGAGGGGAAGAACATCTAGGAATCCCTTCCCCCCTGCCCAGTCTATTGCTAGTTTACAGCACACTGCAGGGCTGAAGCGTACTTTGGATTCCAGCAGTTAATCACAGGTCTCATGGTATGGTGGGTGTGGTCAATCGTCAGGGCTTCCAGGAGCCAGTGGAGGGCACAGAGCTGGCGGAAGAGGGGCTCACTGCAAAGACAGAGAGAGGGAGCACAGTAGGACCCTGTTAGAACCACATTCTGCACGGTAATAGCCATAGAGAGAGTAGTTGTGCTGCCTTCCAGTTTGAGAGCTGGCACCATGCTCCAGGCATGTGCAAGTATTTTGCCCACATCACCTCATTAGATCTTTGCAATGGTCACTCGAGGTGTTCATTAACCTCATTTTACAGAGGAGGACTCCGAGGCTCAGAGGAGTTAAAGACGTTGTGCCAGGTCCCTAGGCCATTAGGTGGCAGAGCCATGATTTGAAAGGCGATGATCCTATGCCAGTTACTGGGAATTTGTGTGTGTGTAGGGCACAATCTTGTGACCCCAGCTGGAGCTCTTGACCCAGGCAAGCGAGAGGCTTAGGGAAATCAATATCCTATGGTGCCCAATTGTTAATCTCATCAAGGTACAATAAATAGACTAAGAGTATGCAAAATGTCTGGAAATGCAGGGAAACTCGTGTATTAATTTCATTTTTCCCCCAGAGTAAAAATTGGACATACTGCTTTAAATTTATAAATCTTTTGCTTAAAAATGTAGCTGGATGTTGAAGAAAAACAGATTGAGCATATTATTTCAAAATGTTACCTAAAACATTGTTTAAAAATATGTCTAACCAACATTTTCCCATTTTTTTGGACACCTTGTATTAGTTAATATAGCACCTACAATGAGCTAGGCATAATGTAAATGTACATTTTTTAATTCTCCCAATGATGTGCTTGGGTATGAATTGTTATTATGGATGTAGCTGTGTTCCAATAAAGTTTTATTTACAAACTGAGGCTCAGAGAAGTGCAATCACTTTGCTCAAGGTCACATATCTTGTTGGTGATAGAGATGGTGTCTTAGTATCTCATTTAGAGCTCAGGACAACTCTATAAGGAGCATACTATTCCCAAATCCTCTTTACGATGAGGGACATGAGGCCCAGAGAGGTACAGTGAGTTACCTGAGGTCACACTGCTAGTGAGGATTAGTGAGGATCTGGGCTGGGGTCTCTTTAACCTCAAAGACTGTGCTCCCATGGACTTGGGCTCTGACCAGGTGCTGATGAAGCCAGCACAGTGGTCACCCTGAGAACGAGGTCAGGAGAGGGTTAACCTGCTGCCTGCCTTTTTCCTGGAAACAAGGTGGAGTCCTGGCTGGCCACCCTCCTCCCCCCCATCATTTCTGCTCTTGCACTAATGGGCCAGATGCCTCCATTAAGAACCTGTGTAATTGCTCTTCTGTGAAACTTCATCCTGCCTGATCAACACTCCCCAGGGTTCCTAGGCCTGGTGTTTGTAGGGGGAGGAAGGTATCTACCCACCCTGTTTCCAGGAAGGCACCTCTTCAGAAGGTGGGGCCCAAGCCCTGGACACAGGTGTGCAGCTGGCCCAGGGTTACCCTGGAATATCCCTTGACAGATGTCCATGTCACTCAGCTTGAAGGGGAACTGCCTCACCACCCTCCAGCCCCACCATCCTCCAGCCCCTTTATCCCCATGTCCCAGGGTGGTCATATCCACCAGGTCTTAGGAAAACTAGAGGTAGCAGATCTCCTTCCTTCCTTCTCTGGAGCCTTTTTTTTTATTTCGGCATATTATGGGGGTACAGATTTTAAGGTTTCAATAAATGCCCATTTCCCCCCTCCCCCCAAAAGTCTGAGTCTCCATCATGACCATCCCCTAGATGGTGCACATCTCACTCATTATGTATGTATATACCCGCCCCCCCCCCCCTCCCACCTGCCCAATACCCTATTACTGTAGTACCTATGTGTCCACTTAGGTGCTGCTCAGTTAATACCAGTTTGCTGGAGAATATATCTGGAGCCTTTTTCTTCCACAAATTATTTTAGTGAATAATTGAGCACCTAATTTTCCCTCACTTCTCATTTCGAGGACCTGTAAGCCCATAGCCCTTCCAGTTCTTGTCTCTCTCTTCCCCCTAAACATCATCTTGGGCCCTACAGGTGACAGCATTTTGGTAACTCTGCACACGGGCTGTGTCCAGCATTTAACCAACAGCAGCAGCAGCAGCAGCAGCGCCGTATGCCTGGCACTGGGCTGTGAGCACCCTGCTACAACCTCCCCATAACCACAGCAAGCTGTGGAAGGCTGGGGGTGAGGCCACCCGTTCTTCTGTTTTACAACGGGGAGCCCCTGCAGACCTGGGCTTTGGATGTGTGGGGTGGGCAGAGAAGCACTCAAAGGGAGTTAACTGGTGAGATGGGGTCTGCTTGGTCACGGGGCAGGGCTGGGGATGTGGGGCACATGAGCATCAGATTCATTTCCGCAGGTGGCAAGAATAGGTGCAAACCTGACCCTCTCCTTCCCTTGCTTTAAAATCTTCAAACTCCCTAAATCTTCCATAATTGACTGAACTGTGGACACCCCCAACTTAATATGCTGAAGCCCTAACCTCAGTACCTTGGGGTATGACTGTACTTTGGAGATAGGGCCTTTAAAGAGATGATTCAGTTAAAAATGAAGCCATTATGGCAGGCCCTAACCCCATTTGACTAGTGTCCTTATAAGAGGAAGAAATCTGGACATGCAGAGTGACATTAGGGCTGCGTGCACAGAGAAAAGGCCATGTGAGGACACAGAGAGATGGCAGCTGTCTTTGAGATCAGTAGAGACGCCTCAGAAGAAACAAACCCTGACAGCACCTTGATCTTGGACTCCCAGCCTCCAGAACTGTGAGAAAATACATTTCTGTTCTCCAAGCCACCCAGTCTGGTGTTTTATCAAGACAGCCCGAGCAGGCTAACCCACCACCACACGGGAGCCTTCACCCGCCTCTCCAGCCTTGAGTCATCCCACTTGTTTCTGGCAAAATTCTGCTCTGTCATTCACACTCACCACGCTGTCCTTCACACCATCTGGGTCAAAATCCTGCCTTTGTCATTTACTGGCTGTGTGGCCTTGGCCAAAGTGCTTAACTTCCCTGAGTCTCAGTTTTCTCATCTGTAGAATGGTGGTAACTGTAGTACCTTCCTTGTAAGATGAATGTGAGGGTAGGGTAAAGTGCTTAGCACTGTTCTCTGCTCCTGATATATATTTCTCCTCCTCCTCCTTTTTCATCTTTCAGTGATTGGGCTTCAGATCAGATAGCACCCTCCCCAGGAAGCCCTCCTTGATTGCTCTAGATCTGGGTTAGACTCTCTCTAAGGAGGTTTTAAAGCATCTCCATCCCTACAATGGGTCCCCTTGTCCCCACCTTTGAGTTCCTGCTCTATTGTAGCCACCTGTTCCCTTGTCTTTCTAGCTTACGAACCTGCAATCTACAGAGTCTTGTCCACCGCAGGGTACCCTGTGCCAGGCACACAGTAGGCTCAACGTATTTCTGGTCACTGAGTGGAAGATGGTGGGAATGAATTGGTTTGGATCTGATATTTTCCTGAGCTGCTAACTTGGGGACACTTCTTATATACAAACCACTGAGATAATGAAGAGTAACAACAGCAGCAGCAGCAGCAGCAGCAGCAAAATAATATTAATAGTAATAGTAAATACTTCCTATAGAGTGCTTACTCTGTGCCAGATGAGGTTTTAAGTGCTCAACATTCATGAACTAATTTCATCCTCATAAAATCCTGTGAAGAAGGTACTATTAGCCCCATATTACAGGTGAGAAAAATGAAGATAGAGGGCCATGTGACCTGTCCAAGGTCACGAAAGCCAGTGAATGGCAGAGCTGGAATCTGAGCCCAGTCAGCCTGGCTCCTGGATCTGTGCTCTTAATGACAATATGTTGATGGTGTCTCTTGTGATAGGTCAGAGACTTTACTTTTCATGGGAATAAAGTTTCATCTGATGGGCTGGAAACTTTCTCTCTGTTTATAAAAAGCATCTCAAACCTGATGATTGCTCATCTAATCTGCAGTGAAACAAACCTAAAGAGAAAAAAAACGTCCCCAGAAACAAGTTTGATAGACATTGGTCTTTTCTTGTAATGACCATGTGTCAGGTCATAGCACAATACCTTGGATTTTACCAAATTAAAAGAGAAAGAATTTATTTTCTCAAATGCAGGGCACAATAGGTGCAAATGCCAAATAGGGACGTACAAAGCCTGCTTCTGAGATAACTGAGCTCAGAACTCCAGGCAAGCACCAGTGGTCAGCACACCTCTATTAAAACTGCTGTGCCAACCAGAATACCAGCAGGCACAGACATCTCTGAGAAGAAAATATTTTTTTATTTCCTCTTACTAAGGGAAATTAGCAAATGCATTCAAAGCCATCCCAAGCACCCCATGCTGATAGCCAAGGGCAAATCTGGACACAGGTTGTGGAAGCTGCACTTGTTCACAAAAGGTGGTGAGGGACAGCCCAGTCATCTACAAGAGAAAACGCTGGCGTGTGTCTCATTCCTAGAGACCACCCACTCCCCTTCTTAAAGATAAAGGTCAAGTCTCTTGCGAAATGACTGGATTGATGCCTGCACAGTCGATTCAGAATTATCAGCCAGTTTGGGGATCAATCACGTTGGGATTGAAGGGACTAACCTGGCTCTGATCTGCATTGGCTGATGTGACAACTGAGAATCTAGGAGTTGACCACATGGGGCCTGCCCTGAAGCCTTTTGGTAGACTGATCATGACAGTGTCATCCCTTTCTGCTTTGCACACTCTGCAATGTGACTTAGCGGCTTCCCCTCATCAAGAGGTGGAGTCTTTCCTCTCACTCCTTGTTTGTGGGCTGGCCTGATGACTTGATTTGGCCTGTAGAATGTCACCGTGTCAATTCTGAGCCTGGGCCTCAAGGGCTTGGGGTACTTTGGGTCTTGTCCTTGGAACCCTCTCTGACTACCATGTGAACAAGCCTAGGCTAGCCTGCCGGGTGTTGAGAAACACTCCCGTCACCCTGGCCACCAACCAATCACCCAATAGACTTGTGAATGAGGCCATTCTAGATTGGCCAACCTCCAGCTCCCCATCAGCTGGGTGTACTCATATGAGAAAATCCAGCCAAGATAAGCTGAGCTTGGTCTGACCAGCAGAATCATCCAGCTGACCTGTAATAGATGTTGTTTCAAGGCACTCCATGTTGAGGTGATCTGAAATACAGCCATAGATTACTGATACAGTCATCAAATGCAGCTAGAGCCCTTTAACAGACAAGGAGAAGAAAGGACAGACTTCAGTCCAGGGGAGGGGTTAGCAGACTACAGCCAGTGGGCTTGCCACTTGTTTTTATAAATAAAACTTTATTGGAACACAGACACTTCCATTGTTGTAGCTTTCCTGCTACCGCGGCAAAGTTAAGTAGTTGCAAGAGAGACCACCTGGTCCACAAAGACTAAAATAAAGGAGGTGAACACCCCTCTCTGAGCTTCTGCTTTCTTACCTGCAGAGATAATACACCTACACCACAGGGAGGCTGAGAAGACTGAATGAATGCCTATAGAGCGGTCAGTATTGGTCATTATCACTCTGAACAGTGAGGAGCCTGATAAATATTTGATAAATGAGCAGACAGAGAAGTCTAGAATCATTGCATCATTGCCCGAAATGAATTCATTCCCCTAAGGCAGTGGTTCTCAATGTGGAGTGGTGTGTGTGTGTGTGTGTGTGTGTGTGTGTGTGTGTGGTTTGGCCCCCAGGGGACATTTGGTAATGTTTAGAGACAGTTTTGGTTGTCATAACTAGGGGGAGATGTGCTACTGGCATCTAGTGGGTAGAGGCCATGGATGCTGCTAAACATCCTGCGATATATAGGACAGCCCTTCACGACCAAAAATGAATTCTTTCTTCCCACATGTCAATTAGTGTCAAGGTTGAAAAACCCTGCCCTCAGGTCAAAAGCTTATATATCTCTGTGCCTGAAATCTTCCAGTTGAAAAGTTCCAAGTAGTGAAAAAGAAAAAGTTGGGCTTGAGATTCTTTGAAATCGACACAAGGGGAACAAGATGTCAAGGTTTCAGAAAGCAAGAGTGGTTCTTTGGAGGGTTGATTAGCCCCTGTTACACCCTGCAGTGATGAGTTCATGCCTCAGGTCTGAAGACTACAGGGGCTTCTCTGGGAAATAGCGCCATGTCTCCTGAGCACTGGCTGAGACGTTCTTGCACACACTTGATGAGGACTGTAGACAGATTTTATCAGGCTTTGCAAACTATTTGACATTAGAGTGTCTGGCTTGGCAGGAAATGGAGTGACTCAGTCCTGGCTGATTTGCCACTTAGCTCTAAACCACCGTGTCTAGTTTCTGTTATTTTTATACGCTGAATAGCTTTGCCAGCTCCGGGCTTGTTGTCCCTTTCAAGAGGACACGGGAACAGCTCCACGGTTCCCAACACGTTAGCTTGTTGAGTCATGGCAGCCGGGCTTCAGTTTGTAAGCTGGCACGGCAAATGAGCCGGAGGTGAGACTACTTACACGTGAGCCTTGGGTAGGGAGGGAGAGATGATGCAGCTGTGGACGGGAGCGAATGGACGAAATGTGGTTCCAGCCCCCAACTTCTCATCGTCACATGTGCTGCAGGAAAAGCAGAAAGAAAGAGACATACTGAATGAATACAATGAATGCAATGAATGAGCAGCAGGTTTTAAATGGCTTCGTCTCTTGCCAGGGTTTATTTGGCAGATATTATTGGGCACCTACTATGTGCTAGGCAGTAATCACAGATTCTGGGATGAGGGGTCTAGATGTAGTTCAGGAACAGAGTATATAAAAACCCCTGCCCTCACAGAGTGTGTATTCTCCTGCAGGGGCAAAGAGAGGATACGAGATACATAGATAAATTGTGTGCTGTGCTGGTATGCCATACTAGAGATTGGAAATGGTTTCTTCAAGGGCCAGACAAAAAATTCTTTCAGCTATATTCTAGAAACAGCAATTTCATACCATATTTAAGTGTTTTTTGACTCTATTCTCACGGAGCAATTCATTTCAGTTATATACAATATTATTTTTTTTCTGGCATGCCTGAGTCATAATGTATGGATTTTTTGCCCATGGCCAAATTTAGCTCACAGACATGTTTTAATTAATTTACTCTCTGTGTGTTCGTGTGTGTGTGTGTGTGTGTGTGTGTGTGTGTGTGTGTAATGGAATCAATTGTCCATACTTTAAAATTGGGAGACATCAGGTAAAAACTGAAAAGCTCTGGGTCTCAAAAACTTGAAAGCTCTGGCCACTGTTGGCTTATGTTTCCATTGGTGAAAATCGTGGAACCAAGGATTGAGAATCACTGCTTGCTTTGCATGAGATATGTGCTTCTTGGGTTGCCCCAGACTCAAGCACCCCTGGTTTCTTACTTTCTACTTCCCTTACTAATTCAGGCCATGTTCTCTGACGGCCTTTTAGTTTCTGATCTGCGGCCTAAGCACTTTCATTGATTGGATTGTCAATGGGGTCCCTGATTCATTCATTTCTACCAATAATTATTAGACATCTTCTCTGTGCTGGAAGCTGCAGATGCTGCAGACCCAGCCTCTCCCCTCCTGAAGCTTACAGTCTGGTGGGGGAGATAGGCATCACCAAATAAACAGCTGTGATAAGTGTTCAGATGGAGAGTGCTTTAACAGCGTAAAATAGTGAATTTGACTGAAACGGAAGGCTGGGAATACTGTGCTTCCTTGAGGAAGTTGTGGCAACTTCGAACCATGTCCCCCAAATTCTTAGATACTTCTCCAGTAGAGAAGTTGGTCTATGTCCACTTTCCCCTTTGGATCTTGGCTCTGTGACTGACCGACCTAACAGCATGTGTCAGACAGAAGTGATAGGATGCCAGGCTCCAGGAACTGGCAACCTCTTCTTTCTGTGTCCTGGGATGTTGGCATCCAGCCGCCATATTGTGAGGAAGCTGGCAGCCTGCAAAGAGGCCACAGGGAGCAGGACTAGGCTCACAAGCTGATGGCCAGTCCAGCCTGACACCCATGTGAATGAGCCGTCTTGGAAATAGGTCCTTCAAGCTGCCTCAGCTAGTGTTTTATGGAGCAGAGACAATTCTTTCCCTCTGAGCTCTATTCAAATTGCAGACTTATGAGAGAGAGAAGTGTTTGTTGTATTGAGATAATGAGTTTTGGAGTGGGTGTTTATGGCAATAGTAACTGAAACAAAAGTAATGACTGAGCTGAAATCTGAATGTTGAATGGGAACTAACTAGGTAAGTGGAAGAGGGAAAGGTCTTCCAGACAGAGGAAATGGCATATGCAAAGACCCTGTGGAGGTGGAGGGCATGCCATGAGTAGGAAAGTAGGAGAGTGTGGCTGGGGCAGAGGGAGCAAGAGGATGCCAGGAGCTGGGGCTGGAGAAGCAAGCCACAGGATGCCATCAAGGATCCTGGCCCCCCTTGCTCAGACTTTTGTCTTTGTCCTGAAAGGAATGGCAACCAGGGAAAGTGTTAGCTGGGAGAAATTTATATTTCAAAAAGATCACTCTGGCTTAGCATAGGGAATGAGATAGAGGGGGCCAGTGAAGGTGATGCTGGGACTTACGTTAGGAGTTTATCTTCCTCCTGGGAATTTGAAGATAACCCTGGGGTCACAGATGACTGATATGATCATAAATGATATGATCAGAATCTAAGGCCTCTGAATGTCATTTTCATTGACTCTTTCTTTATTCAACCTTAGAGCTGGGGAAACCACAAACAAATACATTGCTGTGCTCCCACTTTACTGGCTAACTGTATCTCTCGGTGGTTTAGGATGCGTGGAAATTTATCTAACTTTTACATCCTTAATCTCTGGTTTTGTGTCTTCTCTCAACCACAGTAATAAAACAAATTTTACCCGTTGTTTTTTCCCCCCACCTTTTCAGCCGAATCTGCAGCTGAAAAATGAGGTCATTGAGCACAGTGGGAAAGACCGTTTGCAGGCAGAAATCTTTAGGGACATGCTTGGTTTTCTTTTTTTTTTTTCCTGCCTAGTTTGTCAGCCTTAAAACTTTTGTCTAAAAGAACTTATTCTACAGTCTTAGATCCAGAGCAGGGGACGGAAGGTGGGACAATCTCTTTTGCTTTTGTAATGCACGAGGATCAAATATTTTGTTAAAAAGTATTTATAAACTAACGCTTGCACTTTTGATGCTTTTGTGATTGGAATTATATCTGTAGAAGCATAGCTCTTAGATGTGAGATGCTTTTTAGCCTTCATGGAAATTAAGATTTTTTTTTAGCCATAAATTTAAGGATTTTAGGTAATTGAGGCCTAGAAAGATCAAATTCACTTTACTGCATACTAATAGCTGACAATTACAGAGCATGTTTAAGATGCCAGGCTCTGTGTTAAACATTGTTTCATTTATTGCTTATAACCAACATAGGAGCTTGCTACCATTCACATGGGCCAGGAAAGGGGAGGGTCAGGGAGGTACAGGGACTTATCCAAAGTTAAACGGTTTTATGGGTGAAAATCAGAACGTGAACCCAAGTCCTGATGGGCTCTAAGGCTTGTGCTCTTAACTACTACCCTGTCTTGGTATAGACAACCCGCTAAAGCCATTCAATAACATTCTCCCACCCTGCATTTGGTGGCTATGTCTCAGTAATAGTTTCCAGTTTTATTTTAATAACTAGCTTTGCACAGCTCATAGAATCCACCAGATAAGACATAACCAAGCCGATGTCTACAAAAGGAGCAATCTCACGCATATTTAAACTTATTAAACTTTAAATAAAGCATGTCTCACACACAGAAACATGGATCAGAGAGGGGAGAATTGTGTTCCACGAAGATGGATTAAAAAGCCCATGCAAAGAACTGGAACGTCATATCCGGACCATTTAAACAGACACAAGAGCATCTTTAACAGTTGCCCTCTTTCCTCGGAGCTTGTTGCATCTGCCTGTTAATCTGAGCACAGTGCCTGCAAAAAGGAGCTATGAGTTCATTCCTTCCTTTTATTCCAGGAAAAGGCTGCCAGCTGGCTAGTGTCACTTGGAGCAGCAGACTCTACGAGTGCCCTCGGCTCAGGCTGGGGGAGGGGGCAGAATTTGTGCTGAGCCCTTGGGACCCTCATGGGAAGGGTAAGAAACTTGTGACTCACTGGGTGGCCTTGTCTGTCTTGCGTACCCCTTCAAGGTCTGATGAGGACGTTTCATGGTTCTGACTCTGAAAAGAATCTTCCTGACTTTTGGCAAAAGACAACACAATCACACTGCCTCCTTTTCCTGCCTGGGCCCTCCTAGCCAGACATGCTGCCTGCAGGAGTTTCTGGGGGGGCTGATACTGATGGTGTCTTCTCAATATGCCTCTTTTTGTCACCCAACTGAATCCCATTTGGCATTAAAGAACTTGCTCAAAGGTCATACCTCTGGGGATTTCCACTCCACCCCACCCACGAGGGGAAGGGGCACACTTAAGGGCACGTTAGTGTGTACCTGCATGGTGCTTTGTTGAGCTGCTGCATGCAACAGCAGCTCTCCCTTAATCTTTTATCACTTTTCCATGCCAGCAGAGGGCCCACACATAGTAGGCCTTCAACATATAGTGATTAGTTGTGCAACTTCCTTTCCTACCCCCAGACTTACTTTGAAACTGGTAGGGGTAAAGGTCCAAGACCTAATGCACAGGAGACCGCTGACATCTTACTAAGGATCTCATGGGGAAAGAGAGCAATGGATTTACATTTCACACTGTGAGGAAGAACCTCATAAAAATCTATAGCAGACATCTCTGCTTTCTTCCAGTGAGGGCTGCCTTTTCTCTCTTTGGTCCCCCAAAGGGTCCCTTCTGCTCACCCTCTCAGCCAGTCTTCTGGCTGTCACCTGTCTCTTAGGTGGATCCATCTAGCTGTATCGAATGCGTCATACTCTCCCTGCTTAACATAAAAAGGTTCCTGCTCAGGGACTCCACTGCTTCAAAAGGCACGGAGGAGAGAGTGTAAATCATAAATATTTTCTTTTATCTTAGAACAAATAAATGAATTAATAAATGAATGCACAAATATCAGGATAGCTTTATTTTAGACCAACCCGTTGGGTAAAAAGAACCAAAAATGCTGGACAAAATAGAAAAAAAAATCTTAAAAGTGGCGAGAAGATGACAAAAGAGGAATCGGGAATCTCTAGGTGACAATGAAGAGAGAATGGGAACTAGAGTGAAGAGGCAGTGTGCGAGTTGCTTTGGTCCTAAGGATATTTCCCAGTTTTGAAAAGGTTAACTTTCCTTGTAATAGCTTCAGAGGGCCAAGGGGGACAGAAATCAGAGCCTAGGGTCCACACAATCGAGAAGTCAAGGAGGAGACCCTTCCCACAATAACCTGGGATTCCCAAGGGCCACACGTTGGGTGTGTGTGTGTGACTGGACATATACCAGCCCCCTGTGGTCTTGCAGTTTGGGTTCTCAGCCATAGCCTGCACCCTGGAGCTTTAAAGAGGTCCCCGACCAGGAGTGTGCAGCCCTCCCACCCACCCCATGCTTCAGGGCCCCACAGAAGGGGGGTTCTATGTGAAAAAAAAATTATTTAGGTGAAAGTCACAGAACATAAAATTAGCTGTTTTAAGAGTTACAATTTAGTGGCATTTAGTACATTCACCAGGTTGTGCAACCATCTCCTCTATTTAGTTCCAAAACATTTTCATCACCCCCAAAAAGAGACCCCGGGCCCATTAAGCAGTCACTCCCCATTCTCTGCCCCCACCGCCCCCCAGCCCCTGGCAAACACCAATCTGCTTTCTGTCTAGGAAGGACCTGAAACGCATTATTAGTGAAAGAAGCCAGACACAAAAAGGTCACATCTTGTATGATTCCATTGGCTCATATTCCTATTTCTTTAAATTAACATTCTGAAGAACAGAATTTGGGAAATGCTGCAGAGGAAAGGGGGTGTCTGCTACGTTTCTGTTTCTTCTTTCACAAGCAACTTGGCAGTTTCAATTTCTGTAGGCAGCCTTAGCATAATGGCTCGCAACCAATGCTTCTCATTGGAATCGCCGAGGGGAACTTTAAAAGATTCTATGAACAGCAAACACCCCCAGAGAGCCTAATGGGACTGGCCTGGGATGGAGCTGGGTATTGGTTTTTCTGATTCTGGTGTGTAGCTGGGGTGGAGACACCTGCCATAACAGGGCAATGGCCACAGCTGCAGGCTGTTCCTACCACGCATCTCCTTCCTGCCTACTTCACCATCTCCTTTCTTGTCCGTTTATGCCTCGTTCATTCCACACGAGCTAAGGATCCTAAGATTTTGCCCATGATGAATGGCACAGTCCATGGATTTTAGTGCCACTGGGTTTTGGGATTCAGGGATGCTTTCTAACCATGACCTTGGGAAAAATTAGCTAATATCTCTAAGACTCATTTCTCCATCTCTAAAATAGGGCTAACAATGGTACCTATCTCACAGGGATGTTTTGAAGTTCAGGCAAATAGATGTGCATAAGGCATGTGGTAAGCACTCATCATTATTGTATTGATGTTGTGGGAATCAGGAATCACATGCATGGGTGTTTCGTAATGGGCCAGTCTGTTGCCTCCCAAGTCCCTTACTAAAAGGGGGCTACTTTACGCAACAGACCGGCAAACACTTTTTGTGCACTTGCTTCGTGTGGATGCTCAGCTAGGCCCTGGGGAAGATGCTGAAGGTCTCGAACAGAGATGCTGACGTACAATAAAGAGAACTGGCATGCAAACACATGTTATGGGGACCCGGGCTGCAAATGGGTGCAAGGAGCTTCTTGGGCTGAAATCCAGGCAGTATCAGGACAGGGTGGCATTTAAACTGGGTGTTTAGTGCTAAGTAGAACTTTATTGGAAGAGGATGTAGGGATGGGTATTTAAGGCCCAAGGAACAGTGTGGGAAAAGGCCTGACAAGGAGGAAGAGAGGCACACCTGGGGACCAGCAGGCTTTCTGGTGTAGCTCTTAGCATCAGATATGAGGATAGATATTATATAGAAGATATTCCACCCAATTTTAGAAGGTGAGGATGGCAAGGTAGGTTGGACTAAAGATGGCGTTAGATGCCAGGCTGAGAAGGGGCCCCTACTCTGATATAGCTGCCACTGCCCAGCCTTGCCCCCAGGGCTCACTCTCAGGGGTCCTTCCCAAGAACGCTAGTGCCGCCGCTACTATGTCCACTTACATCAGTACAGTGTCCCCGCACTGGATTTCCGAGAGCTTTTTGGCTGGCTGGAATTTCTTTCTTTCTTCCTCTAGCAGTTTCTCAAGCTGTTGTTGCCTCTTTTTCATTTCATTCTCCTCCTTCAGCATGGTAAAATATCCGCGGCCTATCTTCACCGACTGGATCAAGATGCTGGGGGGGGGGGAGAAATTAAAAAAAAAAAAAGCAAGATGAGTTGACATATATTAAGACAATGTCCTATCGTCTGGGGACCCCAAACCTCTTCGGGCACCCTTGTGTCTGCAGGGTGGGACCTTCCCATCTCTCGATTTTCCGAGTCGGACAGACCTGAGCTTGAATTCTGGGTCCTGCTGGTCCCGAAGACCTTGGACAAGTCATTTAATCTCTCCAAGCCTCATTCTCCTCATCATTCCATTACCCAACCAATATTTACGAGTGCCTACCCTGTGCCAGGCACTCTGCCCGTGCTACGAGGTGAGCATAACAATCACAGCCCTCAGGACGGGACCCCTCCCGGCGTGGGAAGGGGTCAGCAGCCAGGTGCCTGGCACCACTGGGTCAGGGCTCCTGCCAAGGCTGCCCTCTCTGCGATTTGCCTACATGCTCGGTCTTGTATGCACCACTACAGAAGTCCAAGAGATAGCATGTAGACGCTTGCAGTACCAAGTAACGTAACTTGGGACTTTATTATTCTTTTCTTTTCAATTCAATTGCTGTTTCCGCATCAGACGTCCTGATGCTAGCTTGATGTGAAGACATCCTGTGCCCTGCTGGACTACACACCTCCCTGCCCTGTGCCAGTCTTCACCTTGGGGTTGGAGTTAGCAGCCTTATGGTGGAGAAGGAGTGAGGCAGAGCTGTGTACATGTCTGTCTGTCTGCCCGACTATCTGGGATGTTGTCCAGCACCGTATTAAACCATCACCACCGTCCCCACATAAAAATGTTGGTTCCAAAATTCAATTTTATTTGTTCTCCCAATTTCTAAAAAGCAACCATTGTGTGCCAGGCACCGTGTTGACTACTGGGGATATGGTGACGAAAATGACAGTGGGTCCCCCAAAGTTCACGGTCTAGGAGGAAAGAGAGATACGTGGGAAGTCATTGTTAATGCGGCGTGATGGGGAGGGAGGACTCTGGACTCTGTTGGGGGGACCTGATTCTTACTGGGGGTGATGGTGGTCCTTGGAGACTTCTTCACAGAGAAAGTGATGTTTTCTTTCCTCCTTTCAGGGTGGCCTCTTCCTCTCTTCTGGTGTCTCTCTTGTGCTCCGTTGTGGAAGGGAATATTCTCAGCCACACATCACAGCCAGACTCTGATATGATCAATGGACCCCTGCTTTTTTCGCTAGGAAGAGTTACAGTATCACTAAGGGGCATTTTCATTTCAGCAGAGGACTCTTATATTAATAAATGTCCACTGGGAAAATGCTGGGAGGTAGGGCTTTTCCGGCATTTTTCAAATCATATCACACAGCTGGCAGCTGAGGGATAACTTTTCATTCATTCATTTCTCTCGCTGGCCTTGGCTGAGAACCTGCCATTCCAGGTACCAGTGCAGGGGACTGCGGCTGCACAAAGCAATCAGATAAGGCATTCGCCCCCAGAGAGATCACAGTATAATGGAGGAAGCACAGCCACAAACATGCACTCTCAACCTGATGTGCCAAAGGGATATAAGGGCCTAGAGAAATCTTGGGAGGCTTCCTGCAGGAGGTGGCATTTGGGCTAAGCAGGAATTCACCAGTAGGATGAGGTGGGAAATGGCATACCAGTGGATGGAATAGCAGGCGTAAATCCGAAGAGGTGAGTCTACAGAGAGGTGAAGACAACCTGTTTAGGGAGCTACAAGTATTAAAAAGCTGGAGCACATAAGGGGTGCATGGGGAGTCGCTAGAGCCAAAGCTGGCAATGCCGCCAGGGAACAGATGGTGCAGGGCCTTAGGTTCATAAGTGAGCCCAGAGTTGTGGGGGTTGCTAGGAATATACCTTCTACAAATACTCCAGGAATCTGCAAATGTCTGAGTTTTCATAAACAATTTTTTTTTTTTTTTTTTTGAGACAGAGTCTTACTTTGTTGCCCAGGCTAGAGTGAGTGCCGTGGCATCAGCCTAGCTCACAGCAACCTCAAACTCCTGGGCTCAAGCAATCTTCCTGTCTCAGCCTCCTGAGTAGCTGGGACTACAGGCATGCACCACCACGCCCAGCTAATTTTTTCTATATATATTAGTTGGCCAATCAATTTCTTTTTATTTATAGTAGAGATGGGGTCTCGCTCTTGCTCAGGCTGGTTTCGAACTCCTGACCTCAAGCAATCCACCAGATGTGCCAGAGCAACTTGTTTTGTACATTTCTATTGCATGGACCTTAGTCCACCCATCCTGCGATGCACATTTTTCACATAGTAACGTCTTTGACGTGAGGCTGTGTCTGAGCAATCGTTGGCCTTTCACAATCACTGCCAGCCAGGTGGCAGTTGCTTTGCAGCTGCCATTGCCTCTGTGTGTGCAGACTCGGTGGTTACTCCCAGGAGCCTGACTGCACAACTGCCCCCTTGATGCTTTAGTCAACAAACCACTGGACCATGAGTTGTGCATCTTAAGAGTCTGTTTTTTTGACGTGGTCTTTTTAAATCAAGAAAGTGCCAGAATCAAAACTTTCAGACTAGGGATCGGTAGCTAGGAAGAAAATCCTGGAGACAACAGCGGAACATCTTTGTAAGAAATATTGCCTTGGACATTGTTGACTCCAAGTGGAGAAGTGATTCAGAACAGCTTAGCTTTAAAGAAGTTTGAGGAATACCTCAACCAATGTATTTCACTTTATTAATATATTTTCCTTTTTATGTGAGCAGAATATAATAGTATGAACAGATAAACAGAATATAAGAAATTGGACTGGGTGTGGTGGCTCTCGCCTGTAATCCATGGGAGGCTGAGGTGGCAGGATCGCTTCAGTCTAGGAGTTTGAGGTTATAGTGAGTGATGATCATACTACTGCACTCCAGACAGATCAAGACTCCATCTCTTTAAAAAAAATTATCTAGGAAGGTGAAAAAGAGCTTTCTTAAAAATTAGGAAATAAGTCTTTCTCCATTTGTGGGGACTGACCCTCTCTCTGGAAAAGTATTTCTTTTGTGTAGCTTCCTTTACTTTCATTCTTTTATGTGTTAATAAACTGTTCATATTTTTTAAAAAGGAAATACAATATTTTTACAAAATAAAAATTCTAAGTGGTAAGAAAGCACTGTCTTAATTGAATTGGCAACATTATTGTTTTGTTTTTAAAATTTGAAAACAATTTTTTTTTATATTTTTTGCTGTTTAAATTTTTTTGTTGTTGTTTTTTTCTTTTTGCTGTGTTTTTTAATGGTGTATCTTAGATTTGATGGTGGCTGAGATCAGTAAAATGCAGTATTTGAGCTTCTTAGGCATGTGTCACCAGGAGGTCGCCACTGATCTTTTTCTGAATGTAGTCCTTGCTTCTCAGGCCATGTAAAATTTTCCGAATGTTCATGCCACACGTCACTTGTCTATCCAAGCCGGTCAGTTGCACGCAAGTCATACCCACTCAGCTCATGTTCTTGCCACTGCAAAATCATCTCTCAGTTTCTTCATGAATAAAATTGTGCAAAAACGAATGAATGCATAACCTTTTATAACACACTAAAACCATATCACAGGTACCTTTTAGCCTCTGTCAGTTCTAGGTGATTTGCCTGACTTTCATTCTTAAGTTTAAGAAGGTGAGCAGTTAATATGATGTGGAATTTTGCTTTCAGGCTTCCGAATCAATGAGCGTCCCGGGGTTGCCAGGGAACTTGATACAAAGAAAATGGTTACCGTTTGCAACACCTTAAGTTGACAAAGGAGGATTTTTCTCTATGTAGCACAAGCACAAGCACATGCAGAGATAACCTGGGAGGTGAGGCTGGTGTGACAGCAACTGTTTTTCATTGTCGTGTGACTTTGCAGAGATGGGTTGGACCCTGGCTGAGTCTGCGTGGGCTGCTATTACAAAAATACCACAGACTGGGTGCTTAAACAACAGAAATTCCTCACATTTCTGGAGGCTGAGAGTCCAAGATTAGGGTGCCAGAATGGTTGGTCTACGTTGAGGACCTTCTTGCAGGTTGCAGACTGCGGACTCCTCATCGTACCCTCACATGGAGGAAAGAGAGTGAGAGAGCTCTCTGGGTCCCTTTTATAAGGGCACTAACCTCATTCATGGGGGTGGGGGCTAATCACCTCCCAAAGGCCCCACCCTCCTTATAGCATCGCATTGAGGGGTTAGGATTTCAGCTTCTGAATTTCATGGGGAGACACACACATTCAGTCCTTAATAGATCCTTGACCCAAAATTTGGTTCAGAGGTCCAGACTGGCAGTAAACACACACCAAGAAGGTGTGACAATGGCTTATTACTCACAGGACAAGGCTTTCTGTGGAGAGCAGGGAAGGCTCTCGAACAGGGGAAGCAAGGAGGGGAGAGTGGCCTGGGGGTTTAAGGTGTTTAGGAGGTGGGCAGTGGTTCTGTGCTTAGGCATGGTTTGACCTTCCCACCAGTGTCAATGAAGGGGGCACCTGCACTTGCTAATCAACTTGCCTCCGTACAGGGCAGAGAGGGAGGGGTGAGTGGTGGGGCTTGAAATCTGTTAGCAGTCAAACATCCCAAACGGAGTCAGGGCTGGGCGCAGGGGCTCACGCCTGTGCTCCCAGCACTTTGGGAGGCTAAGGCTGGAGCATCACTTGAGACCAGGAGTTAGAGACCACTTTGGGCAACATAGCAAGATTCTGTCTCTACAAAAAATGAAAAAAAAAAAATTAGCCAGGCATGGTAGCGCATGCCTACAGTCCCAGCTACTCAGGAGGCTGAGGCCGAGGAGTTTGAGGCTGCAGTGAGCTATGATGACATCACTGCACTCTGGCTTGTGTGACAGAGTGAGACCCTGTCTCAAAAAAAAAAGAAATCAGACTCTTTATTAAATTGATACCCAATTTCCAATTTGTGTGTTTGCCTACATAGCTGTGTCATTATCAACCATTCGAAAAATATTTATTGAATACCTATTGCGTACTGGGAACTATTCTTGGTGTTGGGGACACAGCAGTAAGCAAGGCAGCCACAAAGTTCTGACCCTCATGAAGCTCCTATTCCAGGGAGTGGAGACAG